ACATCTACGACGTAAATGCGCCATCCACCTTGAGATATAAGTTCTAAGGTCTCAGTATAGTTACAACGGCTGCCCCACCCTTCAAACCGAAACACATTACTGCTTCACGGCAGAAATAGGCGGGGTGGTGGTACCTACCCGTGCGGACTCACAAGAGGTCCTACCACAAGTTGAAGAGTGTTAGCATATTCTCTGAGTTTGAGTCCGTCAGCTCACCTACCAGTCACAACGTAGTTGGGAAAGTTCCTTAGGCTATCAGCAAATAAGTAGGGGAAAGAAACCAATCTGATCCTGTTAACCATGATCTGACATTTTTATTTTAAATAGTAGGCAGCGGCTTGGCTCTGTCCCTGGCATTGCTGACGTCCATGAGCGACGGTGACCACTTACTACCAGGTGGGCCGTATGCTCATCTGCCTACAAAGGCAATAAAAAAAAAATAGTAATAATTTGTTATGAAACCAATTTAAAAAAAAAAAGAATTTTATACGTTTTTTTAAAACCAACTTGAAAGTGAAGTAACGAAAAAGAAAGTTAAGAAAAAAAGAATTGAAATTCGCAGCCCAACTAAAGTAATCCGATTACGTTGTAGTGCTGTTCGGCTTATCGATAAAATTAATTATGTCGAGTTATCGATAGATTTTCACAGAGCTGTCCCTATTTTCTGGTTTCTTGATGTCAGTTACATGCAGACGTAATGTGGTTTTCCTAGCTCATACCACGATAGTAATAATTATTAAGTGCATCCAAATTTTGTATTGTAAAAATCGAACTGTTTACCTTCGGAGATGAAGTATGTATATATATAACTCTAAGATAAATTTTTTTTACCTACCTATGCTGATAGCCTTGAGAGGCTATTTCAGCTTCACCCTAACGTGTGTAGGTGAGCTCACGGGGCTTAAACCGGATTGTTGCTAACACTGACCCCAGCAAGAGCGGTGCTTCGCAGAATCTACCACCGGATCGGAAACGCAACACACTGAGAAGATCCGGCGAGAAACTCAGTGGGCTGTATCTATGGGTTAATTCGCTCGTCGAGTCCTTCGTCGCAAGTGACGGACTTGACGAGGAAGGTGACCGGTGCTTGAAGTACCTAAAAGCACCGTTAATGGATCGGGAAGATCCGTAATGACGTATATAGTGATAATAGAACAGTCTACGCGTTAAGCAGTCTTAGCTGATATCACCATTCCTCGTGACGAGAGCCTCGTCAAGGCAGAAAAGGACAAACTAAAACAATCATTTTATACTGTTTTAAAAAAATTGTATTTTGAATCTTTTTGTAACTATACTTGAGACCTTAGAACTTATATCTCAAGTTGGGTGGCGCATTTGCGTTGTGGATGTCTATGGGCTCGTAAGAGTATTGATGATTAATATTTATAGGCGCTATTATTACTGTTGGTAGGACGCCTTGTGAGTCCGCACGAGTAGGTACCACTAGCGCGCCTATTTCTGCCGTGAAGCAGTAATGCGTTTCAGTTCGACGGATGGGGCAGCTGTTGTACTGTAAAAATGTAGACCTTAGAACTCATGTCTTGAAGTGAGTGGTGACATTTACGTTGTAGGTGTCTATGACCTCCAGTAATCGCTTAACACCAGGTACGCCGTGAGCTCATCTACTCATCTAAGAAATACCAAAAAAAAGGCAGTGGCTTGGCTTTGCCCCTGGCATTGCTAACGTCCATGTTTGACGGTAAACATTCACTATCAGAATGGCCGTAACTTATTCTACCTATAGGGCAATAACATAAATAAATAAAGTTTACTTTGAATATTTACTATATTATATTATATTGAATACTGTATAAAGCTATACATTGATTTTAATTGAAAGATAATTGTAAATAGACATGTTTTAACAAAAACCAACTTCAAATAGAAAAAAAAGATATTCCAAAAGAAATTAATATACACTAAAAACAATAATCATCGAAATCGGTTGGCGTGATATTGAGTTATTTATCTATTTGTCGCGCACGTACTTAATGCAAATTTAGGACTTATATGGCTATCTCATGGATACCATTATCGGAACTGGACTAAATAAGATGGGACCATACGGGAAGCGTCAGCTTTCTAATAAAAAAAGAATCATCAAAATCGATTCACCCAGTCAAAAGTTATGAGGTAACAAAAAAAAACATACAGTAGAATTGAAAACCTCCTCCTTTTTTAAAGTCGTTTAAAAAGAACATTTTTTTTTTTATAAAGAAATCAAAATGCAAGTTAGTTTAATAACCTAAAAGTACATAATATTATTATCCGCAACACGCTTCGTCAGAAGCGTATATTATGTTTTGGTATACACGACTATAGTATGCGTGAATCAAAGACGTGTTTAATGTGAAATCTTCATTCCAACCCTTTACAAAATTGAAAGATATAATATAAGCAAGTCTCTAAGTCTCTGGCTCCCATAGCACAGGACTACAGGGAATCATAGTTTGTGGCTAGACGACCAGTTTATTTTTGCCCCGGGTATTATTCTCGTAATTCATTTAAGACCAACGCGAGCTCACAGTTTACACAACTTCAGATGACTTTCAGCTAAGTGAAAAAATCGAAAACATTAACATCGGCAAATCTATATATTAATACGTGAAGCAAAAACTTTGTATCCCTTTTTACGAAAATTGCGCGGACGGAGGAGTATGAAATTTTCCGCACTTATAGAGAATATAGAGAAGAAGTGCACAATGCTAATATTTTTTTTAAAATAATTAATGCATAAAAGATACATTAAATCAATAAAGAAAATATTACACACACTACATACCATGTATTTGACGCACACACGCATGCGTACTATTTATTGTCAAACTTTTGTTCTTGACGTCTGTTGTCAAATTGAGAATAGATTAAATATTGTTTGTCTTTATTAATATTTTTTTATAGTTTAGCCTTGGCGAAATTTGTGATTATAGAAGTATAAAATACAATCATAATAGTGTACAAACTTACAATTCCAATTAATTATAGTCGAATTTCGATTACTGTGGGACCTCTAGTATATAGTAATTCCACACTCTAATTACGCAAATAGCTCTTAAACCAAATCATTACTTAAATATATTTAGTTTAATCGCAAACTGTGGTCAAATTATTAACTGTGGCCGTGCGTGGACACTTTGATGATTGACCGCACTCGTTATAGTAATGAGCTGTTTACATAGATAATTACTTATCATCGTATATTAGACTATTTTGTTGCAGTGTACAATTATTTTTTGACGTGACAACGTCTTATAATTTGATGGAGCCGGCTGCGCGCACGGAAAAACATAACCCGTGCGGCGTTACCTCGCTCTGAGGCGTTTCATTTAAGGCTTCAAGTGCAAGCGAGAGCGCGCAACGAGCGACAAAAAGGCACAATCGGCCTCCGCGTTCGGCAGCGTTCGACATCTGTCTCTCTCCTACTTGAGTGAGCGATGCATCCGCGCGGACAGCTGCTATACAATAATACATTTACATGTTTTCGTCAAGTATGAAGTTCAGTGAAAAGTGAATGTGGTGTCAATTGGCCATACAAAATATCTATCAAACAAATAAAATAAAAAATTTCTTTTGAAAAAATGAAAGCATCAGTATTTTCTTATGACGTTGTCACGTTCAACTATCGTCAGTAAACCGACTTTACAGGCAAACGATTTTTTTTGCTATTGAATTATTATTATACTACTAAAGGCAATCGTTACAAAAAATCGACTTTTCGGCGTTAAATTTTATCGATAATACCACCTCACTAGCGAGTGGAATTCCGACTAATTAAACGTTTAAAAGGACGCGAAATGAAGGGAAAATCCTCCTTTAAGCCATGTTACATTTCAAGATGTCTGTTTGGGGAGTTAATGAAAAAATATGCTATAAAATGACATTTTTAAATTGCATTCCAAATACGCCTTCATTGTAACATGTACATGTAGGTATTTTTATCGCGATGCCCACATACTTTACAATTCAGAGAACGAAGGTACAAAGATAAATAAATAATAAATAAACAACTGGGAACAAATCACACACGGTCTTTCGGTCCCAAATTAGGATTCCCTGTGTTATGAGTATCAGATACTGATAAACATACTTATATCTATATATTAATACGTGAAGCAAAAACTTTGTAACCGTTTTTACGAAAATTGCGCGGACGGAGGAGTATGAAATTTCCCACACTTATAGATAATATAGAGAAGGAGTGCAGAATTGCTTAGATCCAGTAAAAAAATCTCTCAGGTTGAGCCCGTGAGCTCACCTACCTAAAACAGCCGTGATTAAATTTTACGAGTATAATACTTACAAATTATGTTGTATAGTGCTTCGCTCCCAAAAACGATTCTAAAAGCTAGTGTTACATTTTTTCAGATAGACTGAACTTTAAAATCTATTTCTTCTACAAACTCCGAACTTTATCTTGAGATAAATATAATATAAAGATGTGTGGGGTGTCGTGGGACACCGGATAGGAACGAAGTTCCTTATTATAAAAATATTAATTTTAAGTTCTATTCGAGGTATAATGAAAATAAAACTGGAGCTTTCGCAACAACCCACGGTCATTCGGTAACGTGCGATCTTATTGTGGTACACTTCATTCACGGTTGTTTGCATAAGAGTTAGTGTATTGCGCAAACGAACACTCTGAGATCGTGGTCAATGAATGATAAAAAAATATGTTATTTTTTGTACGTTATTACAAAGTTAAGTCGTACATTGTGTGCATTACTAATAAAAATCTTACGTTACGGACTTTTTTCCCGGTCAGGGTACCCCTCCGCATCGTCCCATAAGGAACTTTGTTCCAATATATTATATTAAATCATTTTATCTGTAGTTTCCCTCCTAAAGTATTTTAATGAATGTTTGAGTTCTCATATTTACAATATACGATAATATCCGCAATTTAAACATGAGTGGCTCATCATACAAAACCCTAATGTGGCCGTATTCTGTAAACTAATTGATTTTGCTTTCTCTTTGTTTCATGTTGGAATGAGCAGCAGCGGCAAATCGAAATGGTAAGTGGTGATATATTTTCTTCTATCTACTTTCTCATATGAGGCGACCCTTATCGAAGGATGAAGACTGCAGTGGAAAAGGGAACGAGATCTCTTGTGTCTCTGTGTCTGATCTCTACATAGTTGCCTTTTACCCTGGATCTTCCCATGCGTGTTGTATTCAAATACCTCAATTTTCTAGTTACGTATTTATGCTAAGCTTGCAAAACCAATAATACAATAATGGTATGTCTCCATGCATGCAGACGCGAACACATGATTTCTCGTATATAGTAAGTAAGTAAGGGTAAGGGAGTAAGGGGAGATCGGAATGCTACCTTCACCGGCCCTATTGTCAACCCCACCTGCACGCGCCGGATGGCGGCGGTGACCAACAGGTTGCCGTGATGCTCCCTACTAGAAAACCAACGGGGCAATGGCGACCGAGCAATGGCGGTATAACCATACACACTCGTCAGGACAACCTGGACAACCCATACGGAAGAGGCGCCAGAAACCTTGGGGATCAAATACCCCCTAACATGCTGGTGCAAAAGGCAACGGGAAACCACTGCACTAACTTCCCACGAGAGTCATGAGCAGGTCGTATCCGACTGATGCATGACCACGACCACTCTGTCAAGAGTGTACGAATAGGAAAAAAACGTCTCCATGCATGCAGACATATGATTTTTCATATATTATATTATGTATTATACAAAATAATTAATTCATATTTGAACAAACACGCTTAAGAATCATGTCAAGAAAATTTTCAATGAATAACTAATTTATACGGATTTACAATGCAAAGTACCACGGACCGGCAGAAACATGAGATATAATTACTGGAAGAGCTTAATGAATCTATACTAATATAAAAATCTACAGTGGTTTTTAACGGATGTTCCGTTATAATTACTGAACCATGCATCCGATTGACTTGAAACTTGGTATCCATGTAGAAAATACATGTACTTAATGGATAGGCTAATGTTTATATGAGTGTTGGACTCCCTACACCAGTTGCGGGGGTGCTAATAATCTTTGTGGGGGCGAGAAATAATAATGTGAATTTTAAATGCCTAGCGAAGCGGACGGGTACAGCTATTAAATTTATATTATTATTAATAATTTTCCATTACCTAACTTCTCGAATAGATTGGTGTGGATAGTGAGTATTTTGACGTACTAAGCTATTTAAACTGCAATGCCTATTTCATTGAAAATACCAATCAAATAGGCAGTAACTCGAAAGTGTGAACGCCAATTCTCTACCACACAGCACTGCGCAGTCGGAAAATCAACCCACACGAAATAATGGTGGAGGAACTACATACGTTCCCATATCATCTATCATTATGTATGTGTTAGCGATAATAATATTATATAATATAATATAATAATATAGCGATAATAATAATAATATATTGCAGTGATGCTACGTCAGTCTCGCGATTGTCGGACTGTCGATATCACGCTAAGTTGTAATGATAAACACGTGTCTTATTAATCCTTGTCCGATATTTAGACAGAATGGCTTACAGAATACTTGGTGGTTGGATTTCTAAAAACTTAAGTCCTCTGTTTAGTTGATTGACAGGAGGTTTTAGTACGTCAACTCCAGCATTACATTATCTACACGTAGGTGAAAGACCGATGATTTCTACTTAACTCAAAAAATTCCTATATTGGTCAACAAATTTATTCCATTTTATTACCAATTGCACTTTCCATTTAATTTATCTCCTTGTAACGTCTTGAGACAAAGAGGATCTGATAATTCAGAGCTGCCATCTCTGTTCCGGAAGAAATTAAAAATATATCACGATGACCTCAAAGCTTACAAAGCGCTAAACGAATGAACTTGAAAGCTGATTCTTGATTTCTGCTCACGTGCTTAGTTCTCTAGTAGCTTTGTCATTAGATCATAATATATTAATTATTTTTGCAATATTAAATTTTACAGCATTACGAGGGCGGCACTGAAAATTTCGGGAATTAACGAAGTGACACAACATTACTAATTAAAAATGTATTTATTGCTTTTCGAAGTATTCTCCGCGAAATTTGACACATTTTTCCATACGATGGAACCAATCATTGAAGCAACCATTCCATTTGGAAGTTGGGGTCTCCGAAATGGCCGTTTTGTAGGCGTCCACAGCTTCTTCAGGTGATGAAAATCTCTGTCCTCGCAATTTATTCTTTATTTTAGGGAAAGTATAGAAATCATTAGGGCTTAGGTCGGGGCTGTACGGCGGATGGTCTAATAATTCTATGTTTTCTTGCTCTTAAAAACTCTTTTGTTCTGTGCGCGGTGTGAGAACTCGCATTGTCGTGATGGAGGATGATGCGGCGGTTGCAGTTCTCTTTACGGAGTTCAGAAACGACCTGTGGCAAACAAATGCTAGCATACCATTCTGCATTAACCGTTCTTTGTCCCTCAAGAGGAATAGTCGTAACATGGCCGGTTTTGGAGACAAACGTGGCCACCATTTTTTTTGCAACACTCCGTGAACGAACAATTTTTGTTGGCTTTAACTCATTTTCGAACACCCAAACTCGTGACTGGTTTTTTGTTTCGGGTTCGTACGCGTATATCCAGGATTCGTCACCTGATACAATGTTGTATACAGCATTTGAGGATCCTGCGTGGAATCTTTCGAGAGTTCTGACGCACCAAGTAACGCGAGCCGCTTTTTGCTCTTCACAGAGCGAATGCGGTATCCATCGGGAAAACAACTTTTTTACACCTAATTGTTCATGCAAGATTATTTGTATTTGACTCATGCCAATGTCTAAAGTTGCCTGAATTTCGCGGTATGTCACATGTCGATCTTCCTCAATCAGCTTACGCACAGCATCAACGTTTTCTTGGGTGACTGCAGTTTTTGGACGACCTTGACGGGGATCATCACTGAGCTTGACACGTCCACGTTGAAACTCAGCAAACCAGCGATAAATTGTGGTTTTGGATGGGGCTTCATCACCAAATGCAGAAATCATCCGGTCAACACACTGTTTTTGTGTTAAACCACTTCGAAAGTCATAATAAATCATCGCTCTTGAATTTTCTCGAGTCAATTCCATTTTCTCAACGACTAAACAAGTTTGACAAAACCTCGTGACAAGACCGAGAATCTTTTTTTAAATAAATAAATGGTATTCGATTTTTAAAACCAAGGAGTTTTCAATTAAAAAGATTTTAATATGACAGGAACAGTGGAAATATTCCATTCCCGATACTTTTAGTGCAGCCTAGTATGACCTACTATTTGTGGTAATAAATTCGGTATTTAGAGATATGCAATATAATTTAAATTCCTCACAAACTAGAACGTCCCACTTAATTCAAAGGCAACCAAGCTGTGGTAGAAGATTGTTCCTTGCAAAGATTTCTGTTGTTCTAAGGTTACTAGAAACTAATAGCGGTATTACGAATCTATTAGATGGATTGGATTTCGTGTTTTTTGCCATTGAAATCTACGTTAAATACCCTTGTTCGAGTGAAAATTAACTGTATCATAATTGAATATTATAATTGCTTATCAATAATGTGGTTTGTTATTTGTTGTTCGTATTCACGGGATATTATACTTCGAACATAATATAAAAGTCAATCACACCATCCACATCAACAATATCTATAATGTGTACAATCTCTATAATATATAAAAATGAATTGCTGTTCGTTAGTCTCGCTAAAACTCGAGAACGGCTGGACCGATTTGGCAAATTTTGGTCTTGAATCATTTGTGGAAGTCCAGAGAAGATTTAAAAGGATAGATAAATATGAAAATACTTGGAATTAAATAAAAATATCAATTTCGTTTTTCGTTTGACGTGTCCCCGTCGGATTCCTTTTGTTTGTTTTAAGTTTATTTTATACAAAAGTTTAGGCCTTTTATTTATCGGTTGAGGCACTACGAAGTCTGCCGGGTCAGCTAGTATTAAAATATTACCAAAAGTAAAGAAAACAACTCTAGGCACTAGAAGATACGAATTAAAACTAAAATTACGTTTTTACAATAAACTTGAATCAACGCGCGCGAATCTCGTAGGATAACGTCACGGGACAGCGGCGCGTTCGGGAACCCCGATCGCATCCGATGACGCCCGAGTGCGACCCAGTGTTGCACGCTACAATAATAAACCACATTCGTCTTAGTAGAATTAATTTGTCCGTGCAGTTTGGGTCATAAAAAATCAGAGCGGTGATGTGAGTATTTCGCTCTCTCTTCCAGTCACGAGCCTTATGGACGGGCATAGTGATGCGCATTATTGTTGTAGATAAGCGTTATCGATAGTGTATTTAGTTTTGTCATTTTGTGGGCTAGTGATAAAAATGAAAGAAAAAATCACTAATCGAACACTTACACCACATATCGCCGCAAAAAGTTAACGAGAATGATAGAAATTAACACTTTGTAACTTTTCGGGATTTATTCTTATTTCAGTGAAAAGTTTTAACATATTGTTGATAACAACACGTGCCAATATTATTTTGAATAAATTCTGCCGTTTTGATACAAAACAAAGGAGTAGCCATTGTGTCACTAAAGAAATTCAGAGAACGAATGCATAAAAACACATTACTCTTCGACATAATGTAATATATAATTTGCAGGTAAGTAAGTACAAATGACTCTTAACATAACAATGTCTCACCACCGTTCCTATACCACCCCGCCGCCGTGTATCTTCGATGACTCATTTGTTTTTATCGATAAAGGCGTTGCGCCCGCGCAACATGCTCACCGCCCTAGCCGGGCTATGTTTTATGACCCAAACTGCACAGCCAAAATAATTCTACTATAGTAGAATATCTAAGCTTCTTTTCTTTTGCAGACTGATACGACTTTCAATACGATTTCCAATCTAACGATCGAAGCAACGCGCTTTGAAAACGGCCAGAAATTTCACTGCGAGGCTGCCAATGAGGTCACCATCGAGACAAAGGATCATCCTATGCACGCCACCAGAGAACTAGAAATTTGGTGTAAGTCATCCACGCAGTCCTATCACTATCAGTTCCTCTCCAGCACACAGGGTTAGCACTCGGATGTAGGTGGTGTCACTAATGAGTTAACTGTCATTTCAGATCCGCCGATAGTTCGTGTTGAACCGAAAAACATCACAGTGATCGAAGGCTCAAAACTGCTCCTCAAATGTGAATACGAAAGCAACCCTTCATCTCTAAGCGCCGTATTTTGGTAAGATCTTTTGCTAGCACCTCCAATAACTCAACCAAGCTCAGAGTTAAGTCACTATTTATTAGAGCCCATTGCACCGTAACGTAAATGACTCAAGAGTCATAAATTAGGAGTCTCATTGAAATATTGGTGTCCGCCCTTCGAACCCTAACTTCAAATATAATCTGTAACTGCTTCGTTATAGAACTATCCAGCATGACGGCAGTGAATCAAACGGGTCCAAGGTCATGCTCTATCTTGTGATGCAACTACATAGTAACATAAATGGTCTAAATTGAACATTTTGCACCAATAATCTTTTAATACAATATAGGAAACTGCTGCGATGACCTTAAGTTTTTTTTTTTATTGCTTAGATGCGTGGACGAGCTCACAGCCCACCTGGTGTTAAATTAGTTACTGGAGCCCATAGACATATACAACGTAAATGCGCCACCCATTTTGAGATATAAGTTCTAAGATCTCAGTATAGTTACAACGGCTGCCCCGCCCTTCAAACCGAAACGCATTACTGCTTCACGGCAGAAATAGGCAGGTTGGTGGTACCTGCCCGCGCGGACTCACAAGAGTTCCTACCACCAGTAATTACGGAAATTATCATTTTGTGGATTTCATTTTTATTACACGATGTTATTCCTTCACCGTGGAAGTCAATTGTGAACATTTGTTAAGCGCGTATACCATTAGAAAAATTGGTACCCATCTGCGGGATTCGAACACCGGTGCATCGCTAGATACGAATGCACCGGACGTCTTATCCTTTAGGCCACGACGACTTCATCAATGATTGCTACATGTTAATTTTGGACTATTGTGAATAGCTACAGTTGGACTCTTCACTCGTATCCTGAACTTAAACCTACCATCAGTAATAAAAGAAACTTAAAGAAACCACCAGTTTAAGAGAAATCTTCAAAAGAGGTTTCATACTTAACCATCTTGATCTTCAATTCCAGGTTCCGGGATGGCGAACGAGTCAACGTGAATGACACAGCACACTACCAAGGGGGCACCACGGATCAGCACTCGCTCATCATCATGAACGCCAGAGGAGTCGACATGGGAAACTATACTTGCCTGCTGACGAATTCTGTTGGAAACGGCACCAGCGAGGACAACATCGTCGTCAACGTGCTTTGTGAGTGGTTCAGCTTTTATGTGCTCAGCTTTTGGGTGGTCACAAACGACTTGCAAGGATCAGGTAGTAAAAGCCAAGCCAAAAACGTGATGCGTTTGAGTAACTACTGCATCGATGGTAAGGCATAATTTGTGGATACCGATGTGCAATGCTTAGTGGTGGTAGGACCTCTTGTGAGGACCACCACATGGTTTCGGTTTGAAGGGTGGAGCAGCCGTTATAACTATACTGGAGACCTTAGAACTTATATCTCAAGGTGGGTGGCGCATTTACGTTGTAGATGTCTATAGGCTCCAGTAACCATTTAACATCAGGTGGGCTGTGAGCTCGTCCACCCATCTAAGCAATTAAATATTTAAAAAATCCAATTTGAAGCGGTATTATCTTGGAGCTCATACTTCAAGGTCGGAGCATCTTTTATCTGTGAACTCCTCTGCTCATTTTTGATAAAAAAAAATTATTGCCCTTGTAGGCAGACGAGCATACGGCCCACCTGATGGTGAGTGGTACCCGTCGCCCATGGACTTCAGCAATGCCAGGGGCAGAGCCAAGCCGCTGCATACCTAGCATTCAAAATCTTATTTTCGTATATTTTTTTTAGACAAACCCCAAGTTCGCCTAACCATGAGCTCTCCAAGTCCCATCTTAGAGACTGACCACAAGAATGTGACTCTGACATGCGAGGTAGTCTCCGGGAACCCACCGACGCTGGACGAAGTAATTTGGTACCTGGATGGGGAAGTGTTGAAGCATCTTCCTGACTGTAATGGAACTGATGGAGATGGTATTATTTTTTTATTGTGACTAAAATATTGATCTATACTAATAATATAAAGAGGAAAGATTTGTTTGTTTGTATTGAATAGGCTCCGAAACTAATGAACCGATTTGAAAAATTCTTTCACGGTTTTGAAGCTACACTATTCACGAGTGACATAGGCTATTATTATCTTTTTTGAAAAAAATTAGGAATCCTTACTAAAACTCCAATAAGGTGTAAAAAATTACCTAAAATATTCTTTACATCGCGTGCCCTGCGAAAACCATTGATGATATAAAATAATGTACTACGACTTTGTAGAACACATTATTAATTACAAAAAGTGTCGCGACAACATATCGCACCTTTAAAATTATAGAGACTCATTTTGAAATATTTGGATTTTGTCTTTAATTCAAAAATTGACCTAGAACAATCCTGTTCAGCGACTTTTAGTAATCAAATGACCATAAGTACGTTATAAAAGGACAAAGTTATCTATCGGTCTCTTTCACTCTGTCCCCTTCCGCTACGTTTTTTCGGGTTCAGAACTTTAATGGATGTTTTCCAAAAAACACATTTTTTGAGTTGGGTCTTTATAATTCTAAAGGTGCGATATGTCTAACTATTATACTTATGCCGCAATAAGTGTTCTTTTATTAAAAAAAAAAAACAACGTTAAACATCGTTGAAATTTTTGTTAAAGACCCGAGCGGAGCCGGAGCGGGCCACTAGTTTTATACATTTTTCTACTCACGATTGTATTCTCTGCGAGTGGCGCTATTATTCATTTTTTTATTCCAAAAGAAACATCATCAAAGATTATTTACTTTACCACGCATCCCCAGAGAACCTCTGCAACGAGGTGGATCCATCGATGCTGCTTCTACAGGACACCACCAAGAGTTTCCACGGGAATTACTCCTGTAAGGGCAAGAACTTCGCTGGCTGGGGAGACGTCAGCGAAAAGACCGAGCTGGTGGTCAATTGTAAGTCGCTCATCCGATTTCAAAATGAAGAGTTCCAATTTATTACCTTGACATCGATTTAGTAATGGAATAGATTTACTTAAACACTGCTAATGACAAAAGTGAATTGACCTGAAGACCCTTTTACTAAACTAACTAATCAAACCCGCAAAATTATAATTTACGTAATCACTGGTGGTAGGACCTCTTGTGAGTCCGCATGGGTAGGTACCACTATCCCGCCTATTTCTGCCGTGAAGCAGTAATGCGTTTCGGTTTGAAGGGTGGGGTAGCCGTTGTAACTATACTGAGACCTTAGAACTTATATCTCAAGGTGGGTGGCGCATTTACATTGTAGATATCTATGGGCTCCAGTAACCACTGTTAATACCAGGTGAGCTGTGAGCCCGTCCACACATCTAAGCAATAAAAAAAAATTAAAACAAAACTATTTCTATTCCGACGTTACTATGAGATACTAAAGATCACAGAATTTTTCAGAAAAACGTACTCATTTCCTTGTTATCAGTGAAACTTACAGGCTTAAGAGTTAAAACTTCGGACAAAATAAAGGCCCTATCATACAAAGTCCTTTATGACATGAGCTAATATTTGAGACCATCGGTTACAATCCTCAGATCCACCGGGGCCAGCAAAACTGACATATTCACCGTGGCGCGTTATCAAAGGCAAGAGTCTGGTACTGAGTTGCAGCATTGAAGAAAAAGGAAGACCAGAGGCCAACAGGTAACCGTACAACCGTTTTTGTTAGCATTTATATGGGCCATTTATATGGGCCTGGTCAAAGGACTTTTTTTTTATTGCCTAGATGAGGGGACGATCTTACAGCCCACTTGGTGTTCCCACCTCATCTTCGACGTAAATGCGCCACACACCTTGAGATATAAGTTCTAAGGTTTCAAATATAGTTACATAGGTCTACCGTCCTATATAGAAAGTATTTAGAACAGAAAGACGCTAGAAGCTAGACCTATGTTCCCACCCTTCGAACCGGAACGTAAAACTTTATAGTTTAATGGCAAGATAGTTTTAGTGATCACAATTCGTAGGTCAGTATGTCTGAATCGAGTGGCACCCATTTCTCAATATCGCAGATCGAATCTCGCCGCCGGTCACTTTGCATTAGCAAGTCTCAATATTTCAATACCGGTATTTACTTCTTCTACCAGCGGCCACTTTGCGTAAAGTGCAAGGCTCGGTATTGCAATATGTACTTCTCTTAGCCTTCAATGGGAAACGAAGGAAACAGCCGGATTGAGTTTGATGAAATCAGGAAATCATTCCAATGGTGAATGTAGAGAGTTATCTCCTGAATTTGGTAGAGACCGGATTTGGTAGTCGGTCAGCCAAGCAAGCCGGGCTTGATAATCTTCTTCTTGTTCTTCACCTTATCCACTAGGAGGGGTCGGTCAGCTAATTTTTAATACGATTTTATTAGCTTCAGACGTATGTATGTTAATATGTAACGGAATCTTTGAACATGTTTTTGACCCCCTTCAAAACTTCGGATTAACTCGAAATTTGGTATACTTATAAAGGACCGATGACAATTCAATATTAAAAAAGAATAATGAAAAAATTTAAATTATTTAAAATACGCTTATATAGAAAATATAACTAAAAAATAGTATAATAATATAATATTCTCATAATATAATATAATAATATAATAAAATATAATATTCTCATGTTGTATTTGTTATTTTAGCTATATGTTATTTGTTCTACATACACTCATCACATTTAATTATTATTCTCATAATCCTCTCGCAGGTCTGCTGGAAGAGATTTCTTAAAGAAATAAGCAGCGCCTTTGTACATAATTTTCCTATTAATCTGTACTATGTCTTCTTTTCTGTGTGTACATAAATAAATAAATAAATAAAAAATAAAATAAATAGAAAATGAATTTGAATTAAAAATAGTGTAAGAAAAAAATATTTTATTGTTAAAAAGGCGTGGGGTGCATAATATCAGTAGTTATAAATATTTTAGTATTAACAAATATGGGTGAAAAGGGTTATTTTGATATCCTAAATAACCTAAAAGCACCTCACGCTTTCTATAAAAGCGTATTTTGTTAGTTTTTTTAAACTATTATTTATATTTTCTATTCCATTCTCTTCTATCAGCCGTCATTTCAACACTCACTCCTCTGTCTCTCATATCGTCATTCACACACTCCATCCATGTCTTCTTCGGTCGACCTCTTCCCCCTCTACCTTGCTCTAGCATTTCCATACATCTCCTAGTCACGTGCAGCAATAAATAAACTAGCTATTATATAAAAGATCAATTAATATTTTTAATGTACCTCAAATTTCGTCTGTCCTAGGTTCAAATGGCATCGAGGCGGTAGACTGATCACCGACATCGTGTCCCAGAACTGGACCATAGACCCGGTCACGTTGGACAACAGAACGAACTACTCCTGCCGGGGCGTCAGCATCGGCGGCATGGGGGAGCCGGCCACGACCTTTGTGGATGTCCTCGGTAATCTTTCTGCTTAAATTGGAAAAGTTCAACGTCTGTGTGGTATTAAGTAACTTTTTTGTTATTTATTTTTTTATTGCTTAGTTGGATGGACAAGTTCACAGCCCACGTGGTATTAAGTGGTTACTGGAGCCCATAGACATCTACAACGTAAATGCGCCACCCACCTTGAGATAAGTTCCAAGGTCTCAGTATAGTTACAACGGCTGCCCCGCCCTTCAAACCGAAAGGCATTACTGCTTCACGGCAGAAATAGGCAGGATGGTGGTATCTACCCGTGCGGACTCACAAGAGGTCCTACCACCAGTAATAAAACGCAACGCGCCAAACAACTCGACAAAGTTTGCCACGCCGCCCTCAGGTCATCATCACCATTATAAGACGTTCAGTGCACTCATATGTAGCGATGCATCAGTGTTCGAATCCCGCCGGCAGATACCAATTTATCCAATGACATACGTACTTAACAAATGTGCACTATTGACTTCCACGGTGAAGGAATAACATCGTGCAATAAAAATCGAATCCGCAAAATTATAATTTGCGTAATTACCGCTAGTAGGACGTCTTGTGAGTCCGCGCGGGTAAATATCGCTGCCCTGCCTATTTCTGCCGTGAAGCAGTAATGCGTTTCAGTTTAAAGGGTGGCGCACCCGTTGTACTGTTAAAAAATGAGATCTTAGAACTCATGTCTCAAGATGGGTGGCGGCATTTACGTTGTAAATATCACATTTACACAATACGATTGTAATTAATTGTAATTACTTAAAATTGCAATCGTATCGAGTACAGTTAGTAAAAAATGGGAATTTTAAATTGTAAAAGATTTTACAATCATACCCACAATCAGATCTAAACTTCGTGAGAAACCGCAATAGTATATTTATTCCCACTAATAATTAATCTCTTAACCGATTTAATGCGTCTTCAAAATGATTTTGTATATTGACAGCCCCGCCGAGCTTCCAGTACGCCATGAACCATTACAGCGGAGCTTTATATAAATCTCAGGTGAGCTTAGTACCATTAAGGAGCCGAACTGACTTACATTACTACATGTGACGTCATTTGGGGGCAAAACGTATTTCGGAACATGCCAACCATAGATTATACACAACGATCGGTCGTGGAGCTCGACATGAAGAGTATAAGTTTAAATGGTGATTTAAATGTAACCATAAAATATCATTTTAATTTTTAACGTTATTGCGAATACCAGTTGAGAAATAAATAATACTTTTAAAAAACTTACAAAATACGCTTTTATAGATACTTGGATTTTCTATAAAAGCGTATTTTGTTAGGTTTTTTGAACTATTATTTATTTTTCATCTTTTTGTTGAGTTTCAATTTTTCCAATATATTTTTTCAATATTGAATTGTCGTCGGTCCTTAATAAGTATACCAAATTTCGAGTTAATCCGACGTTTTGAAGGGGGTCAAAATGATGTTCAAAGATTCCGTTACAAACATACATACGTCTGAAGCTAATAAAAGCGTATTAAAAAATAAAATAAATACCATTCCGTCTTAGTTCTTTAAATATTAAGTATCGGATTCCTAAGCAATTCGTTCGTTCTCCAGAACATATCGCTGTCTTGCACGGTGGAGTGCGCCCCGCCCTGCGGCGTCCAGTGGCTCAAGGACGGCCAGGTCATCAGCGAGGACAACGAGCGCTACTACGTGGAGGAGACGGCCATCGCGCCCCAAGCCAACCGGAACGACTTCGAGGCCACGCAGTCCGTGCTGGTAACGAGGGGACCTTTGGCTCGCATTGGGGACACAAAACTATTGGGACTCAGCCCTCATATCTCAACGGTGGTGGCTGTGGTCACAACTGACACTAGCTGATGCCGTACACTCGAGGCGATAAATAAAGATGTGTGGTGTCGTGGGACACCGGATAGGAACGAAGTTCCTTATTATAAAAATATTAATTTAAAGTTCTATTCGAGGTGTAAAGAAAATAAAACTGGAGGTTTCGCAACAACCCACGGTCATTCGGTAACGTGCGAACTTATTGTGGTACACTTCATTCACGGTTGTTTGCATAAGAGTTAGTGTATTGCGCAAACGAACGCTCTGAGACCGTGGTCAATGAATAATAAGAAAATATGTTATTTTTTGTACGTTATTACAAAGTTAAATCGTACACTGTGTGCATTACTAATCAAAATCTTACGTTACGGACGTTTTTTCCCGATTAGAGTACCTCTCCGCACCGTCCCATAAGAAACATCGTTCCAAGAAATCAAAGTAACGAAATAAAACGGAATGGTTGAGCAGAAACCGTCCTCAAGGTGCCATCATGTAAGCAATCGTACCGTTTGTGTGTCGCAGCGCTGGAACATGTCGGCGTGGCCGGGCGGCGCTCTGGACCGCGCGGCTGACGCGGCCAGCTACACCTGCCGCTCCTCCAGAAACCTGGCTGGGCCCCCGGTCAACAGCACCACCAAGTTTGCAGTCGAATGTAAGTGGCACTGTGGTGATAACCCACGGCGCGCCCTCGTAACGCCTATAGCTCGTCAGTTACAGTTACAAATCAAACCCGGAAAATTATAATTTGCATAATTACTGGTGGTAGGACCTCTCGTGAGTCCGCGCGGGTAGGTACCACCGCCCTGCTTATTTCTGCCGTGAAGCAGTAATGCGTTTCGGTTTGAAGGGTAGGGGCAGCCGTTGTAACTATACTTGAGACCTTAGAACTTATATCTCAAAGTGGGTGGCGCATTTACGCCGTAGATGTCTATGGGCTCCAGTAACCACTTAACGCCAGGTGGGCTGTGAGCTCGTCCACACATCTAAGCAATATAAAAAAAGGTACGCATCAGGCAGACCGTGCGCTCATCGATCGCCACCCATCTGTCGACCTGCTCACCACAAAGCCTCTTGCGTTCACCACCAACACGATTTGTGCTACTTAAAAATTTTTTTGAAGAAAGTCCTTAGCCGCGTTAGCTTAACTAGAGTATCAACTTGGCCCTAGCACCGCTCCTAATGGATTGTCTTTCCCCGCCGCACTGCCCTCGAAAATCGTGGTGAGCAAAATAGGACAAGTAAAGTAAGACTACTGATATTCCTCAGTACCTGACATACTATTTACTTTCAGCTGGATCGTATGCTCGTTAGTCTGCAAGAGCAATAAAGCCTTGCGGTTAATAAATTTCGCTTCATTAATAGTAGATTATGAGCCTAGGTGGGCATCGCTCTCACGGCACAGTCACTCGTGGTTGCCAGAAGACAACCTTAATACAATTTAGGCTCCAGATCATATTCCAAGGAGTCCGTAAGCGTCGAGCCTCACTTAACAGTGGGTGGATGGTTCAGCCACGTGTTATCTATACTTCTATACTAATATTATAAAGAGGAAAGATTTGTTTGTTTGTTTGTATTGAATAGGCTCCGAAACTACTGAACCGATTTGATAAATTCTTTCACTGTTTGGAATTCACACTATTCCCGAAAGACATAGGCTATAATTTTTTTTGAAAAAAAATTCTTTGGGATCCTTACTAAAACTCCAATAAGGTGTAAAAAAATTATCTAAAATATTCTATACATCGCGTGCTCTGCGAAAACTATTGATGGTAGAATAAAATAATGTACTGCGACTTTGTATACTCTTTTTTATTATTTACAAAAAAATGTCGCGGCAGCATATGTCCAACTATTATAGTTATGCCGCAATAAGTGTTTTTTTATTAAAAAAAAATAAAACAACGTCAAATATCGTTGAAATTTTTGTTAAAGACCCGAGCGGAGCCGGAGCGGGCGACTAGTAACTAATATAGCCCTAGTAAATTCATGTGTTTGTATTTTCAGACGAGCCAGAGAACATAACGGTGAATCCGAGCATCGTCTCCGTGGTGGAGAACGAGGTGCCGGCCAAGGTCGTCTGCTCCGCCAGGTACGGCGTGACGTCACGCGTCCGCGATGCTTATCACTCAACTTCACGGCCCTAGTGATGTCTGCGGCTGACACTGAACCCGCACACCACGTGTGGGCGTCTGTAGTGATCACGATAAGACAACGATTTGTAATTTGGTGAAACAGAAATGAGACTTAAGCAACAGTTTGGCCCCTGGCATTGCTGATTATTGTTGAGCGACGGTAACCACTCACTATCAAGTGGGCCGTATGCTGGTCTCTTAAGCGGGCAATGACAATAAGATTTGATGTGTAAAATGACAGTAAGATGGGCAATGAAAATAAGACAAAGAGATGACAAGAAGCATGTTACCCTGCATGCGAATGAGATAGAATTACTTTTCTTTTTTTTCTTTTTTATTGCTCTTGTAGGCAGACGAGCATGCGGCCCACCTGATGGTGAGTGATTACCGTCGCCCATAGACATCAGCAATGCCAGTGGCAGAGCCAAGCCGCTGCCTACCTCTTAATACTCTCCATAAGCCTCTTTTAAAGAATGACATGTCATAGCGCTCGGGAAACACCGTGGAGGGGAGCTCATTCCATCGGATGGTACGTGGCAAAAAAGACTTCTGGAAACACACTGTCGATGAACGCAGCAGTTCCAGATAATATGGATGAGCTCTGCTCCGATGGCGGGAGGTGCGATGCTAAGGGTTTACCAGCTTGCTCTGTCTGCCGGCAGGGGTTTCCCGACGCCGTCGTACTGGTGGAGGCGCGAGGACGCGACTCGTAGTCGCGCCAAGGCGCAGCGCCCGCCGCTGTCGGCCTCCGGTACGCTGCTGCTGGGCGCCGTGCAGCGCCGCGACGCCGGCCGCTACGTGTGTGAGGCCTACAACCGGCACGGCGCCGTCAGCACCGCCGTGCTGCTAGACGTGCTGTGTGAGTACCAGCTAACCACGCAATACCCCAAGCGGGGTTCGACAGAATCCTCACAGAGCAAAGAGGGTCGCATCCCATCAGCCCTATTCTACGTATCCCTTTTTTTTTCGGGCCGGGTGCCGAACATCCTACGAGGTCCCTGCGCCTAGGAGGCGCGCGGGGTATGTGGGACTTGATGGTCTGCAAGGTGTTGGGAGCAGACCGCGGGCCCAAGGATTTTAGGGCCCTACCCAACAAACGGCTCCCCTTGCACTCTCTCACCAGACGTCCGATCTCAGCCCGGTGTCAGAACCCAGACAGAGTATCCCTACCTATCAAAAACAATTATTTTTTCATCGGTCCATAGTTCCTTTAGGTCATTTATCCTGCAACTCTGACAAAAGATACCAAGAAACCGTAGAGAATTACCTACGGCTTGAATCTGAGACTAATAATTCTAATAAAGACCCTAAATAGGCCCCTGCATTTCATCTCCATCATCAGCTCATAGTTATCCACTACTGGGCACACATAGCTTTGCAAGTATGAATATATGCATATAACGGTATTTGTTACACCCACCGGCAGCCGTAGTGGAGAGAATGAGATCTTAGATTAAATTTGCTCAGGGCACCTTATAAAATATAAAATAAAATAAGATGGCCGGTCCATAGAACGCCTCGTTGTACAGGGAAGCGTTGATGGTACAAGACCGCGCGGGAGGCCACCAATGCGGTGGACCGACCAAATTAAAACTGCAGTGGGAGGTCCCTTAAATGAGTGCAGTAGAATGGCATCGAGCAGGGAGAGATGGCGCGACATCGTAAGACGCATCAAGTCTGCCCCTTCCAACACTACATGACGATCACGACCACTCTGTCAAGAGTGACACGACTAAGAAGAAGAAGAAGAAAATAAGAAATGCAATCACACACAAAGACATATATTAAATTGAAACACACACACGTATACAATAAAAGAAATTAAAATATAAAAAGAAAACTAAAGATACTTAAACTAGATTGTACAATTATTAGGATTATAAAATTAATGGAGGGTAATTAACAAGATCTGCGATGAAATAATAAATTACAAAATTATACGTATCTTTTTGGTAGGATGCGGTGATTCAGAGGTTAGGATCTTGGATTGATGTTATACCAGTTCCCTCGCGTCAGTCATAAAGTACTCAGATCTGGAGACTACTCCGGGACGTTACGTACCACGGAGCGTATTCCAATATATAAAAGTCATGAATTACGGGACTATTGGAACCCTATAAAGTATTAATTATACACAATAAGTTCATGAGACGTTACAGATCAAATATATCGACGCTCGAAAGGCAAACTGACTAAGCGACAATGCGTGAACTTTACAGTAGACTAATTTAAAGTTGAAATACCTGAAAAAATTTCTGTTTTAACGAATCTAGCTGTAGGATTGAAATTATTTTAATAGCCCTAGAAATATATATTTGGTTATTGCCTATCATTTATACAAAGCAGTTATTGTCGCTTAGTCAAGTTTGCCTTTCAAACGTCGATATGCATAATTAAACACTTACCGATAAATCTAAATCGGGCACAATTTAATAACTTGAATGTGAAACATTCTTATACAGTTCAATAAATATGTATACTGTCTTGACTTTTCCTATAACTGTTTGGCGCGGCTTCTCAATGAGTCGTTCCTAGCGCATGCACGCCTATTTAAATGAAATCGGAACAAAGGATGAACCGATGGAGGGAGCAAACGCCAGATTGACTTACAACGAATATGCTAACTAGCAATACGGTGTTACATGCCTTTAAGATTCCTTCCCATCTAGGCACCCAGCAAGAAACTTGTACTTTGAATTGATCTAAAAATCCGGTTTCCAGATATTCCTGAATGCGGCATACAGCAGACCAACATCGACGGCGAACAGGTGCTGGTCTGCAGCGCCAAGGCCAACCCAGCAGAAGTAAGAAATATCCTCATCATACCACCGCTACCAATTAAAAACCACGTCTCATAATTAGCCACTCTTTTAATACCACATTCCAACACCAACTTTTAATACCACATTCCAACACATTCCAACAATGTTCACGATTGACTTTCACGGTGAAGGAATAACATCGTGTAATAAAAATCAAACCCGCAAAATTATAATTTGCGTAATCACTGGTGGTAGGACCTCTTGGGAGTCCGCACGGGTAGGTACCACCATCCCGCCTATTTCCGCCGTGAAGCAGTAATGCGTTTCGGTTCGAAGGGTGGGGTAGCCGTTGTAACTATACTGAGATCTTAGAACTTATATCTCGAGGTGGGTGGCGCATTTATGTTGTAGATGTCTATGGGCTCCAGTAACCACTTAACACCAGGTGGGCTGTGAGCTCGTCCATCCATCTAAGCAATAAAAAAAAAAACCCCAGTCCGGAGTCGGTAATTCAGTGAAATAAAGGTTATTTTTGGATTTCTTAATTGAAATTACTCAACTTTAAGTGTCAGTTCCTACAGGCCCCCTTAAAGATACAAGCCAACCAAATACGGTTTAATTACATTACAACAACTTGAAACCGGAAGTGAAATGGCAGTACTTCTATATGAAGCTTATAATTAAGCGTGTACCAATCGATCTTGAAATTAAGCTAGATTGTAACGACTTCGCCTATAATCACATATAACCAAATACCCCATCTGCATTTTCCAGGTTTCCTTCATGTGGAAACTGAAGAATGATAACGACAGCCTAACGGATGAGAAGATATGGCAGGCCGGGACCCAGAGCTATCTGCGGCTCAGTCCTGGTGTGGACGTCTACAGGACCTACCTGTGCTTTGCGAACAACAGCGTGGGCGTCTCCAGGCCCTGCGAGCGAGATGTCATGGGTAAGGCATTGGGTCCCTCCCCTTTACGTCAACTCCACTTACACAAGCTGCTCCCGTAGAGCAGTCTTCCTTCGATTATCATTCCCAACAGTTTGTACCAACTCGTGAATGTTGAAAATAGCGCAAGTCTGGTCTGTCTAACAAACGGACCCGGCCCGGCTACTAGGCTGACTCACGGGCGTGTATCTCTGGACACACCCTTCCAAGCTACTGCTTGAATTAATCCGTAATAGTAGTATCCACAATAACCTTACCTTTTACTGGTGGTAGGACTTCTTGTGAGTCCGCACGGGTAGGTACCACCGCCCTGCCTATTTCTGCCGTGAAACAGTAATGCGTTTCGGTTTGAAGGGTGGGGCAGCCGCTGTAACTATACTGAGACCTTAGAACTTATATCTCCAGTTGGGTGGCGCATTTACGTTGTAGATGTCTATGGGCTCCATTAACCACTTAACACCAGGTGGGCTGTGAGCTCGTTTACCCATCTAAGCAATAAAAAAAACCGACCTAACGTTACCTGTTTCTTGACCTAAATATTTCACTGATGGACTACGCTTATTTCATCAAGGTCATCATCAGGTTTGAATTGGTGATTAACTATTATTCATGGACCGGCAACTACAAATCTTAAATTGGGAAGGCATTCAACTTTCTACGAATAAATGAGACAATAAAAGAACATTCGTGGAGGAAGTATTGCGAGTCTCCGCGGATCCGTACCGCCATTCTGCCTATTCCTGTCGCGAAGTTCGACTCCAGCTAATACAGTCTGCAACCTCATGCCTCGGGCTGTATAAGAACCCCCCTCTCTCAGACTCTATCTTGCCGCCTGACTATTAGAGTCATGTCGTGACGTTATCTGCCATTATATTGAGGACTTCCTATTTTGTTTACAGCCAACTTGGAAAACTTCAGTAAGTCAATGTAGCTAATAGCTCGACTCCTATACAAAATGTTCTTTTTAAAACTTGGAAAATTGTATATCCGATCTTATGTTTCTGATATCCAGAAATAAGTTCATCATAGTATGCCCATTCTACCGAGAACAATTATGACCTTATTTTATATGGTTACTGCACCATTAACAATGCAATTGACATCCTCAAACTTATGTTTTACCAAACCATATGGACTTCATTTTATGCACATTATTTTTTTTACAAAAAATGTACTAATAAATAAAAGGAATAAGTAATAAAGAATTTATTATGAACATTCTTCCCATCGAGAGACGATTAGATAGTTTTTTACCTGATGGGAAGTGACCACTGCAATCGTGAGCATCGCCGGACACACATATCCTCGATACAATAAACTACAATCAAAATGACACCTAAAAAGATATTTTTACCTACAATAGATTGATACTTAAGCCAACTAAAAATCATCGGTGCGCGATCTGCCACAAGTAAAGGCTCTTGTATTCTTAACTTAACCCTTTCTTAACTTAAAGCTTCGAAAGTTTGGTGGCGCGACCAACAAAAGCTCCTGATGATCGGCGGCATAGCGCTGGCCGCGCTCGTCCTGACCGTGATCCTGTGCATCATCATAATATGCATATGCCGGAGGATGCGCGCCAAATCCAAATGTGAGCAAAGTTATTTAGTGTTATTTAGCATTTCTCATTCGACATGTATTTGTAAATAATTTTACGGTTTTGTTTATTTTTCAAAAGTGATTTTTACGAGGTTCGGAATCAAAAATTAATTTAGAACTAATTGACTGACGAAACTATTGAGTGATGTATTTGAGAAGGCAAGGAGGTATACATTCGGACCCTCTGAGGTGCGTCACGAGGGTCATAGACGAAGAGAGTGTTCTAGAACATAAGCAAGGCCGTAAAACTGTTCGCACATCCCTGTCGTGATCCATTAACATCTGTGAAATTCATTTATTAAAATAAAAAAAATCGAAAACCATCTCATTATAAATTAGCGTTGTTTGTTTTTACGTCACGTTGTTTTGCTAATTGTTTAATTTGTAAATGTAAAATTACTAATTCACTTTTTTTTATCTTTTTTTTTTTCCGGCTCTCATTAAACTAACGTCAACGAACTAACAGACAATAATCCCGTCGAATTAGAAGAAAGGGAGAAGTAAGTTTCATTTTATAAATTAAAACATCTCAATTATTAGCTTTTAGTAATAAAAATAGACATTTCCGAATTATTTCGTAGAAGCGCCATCGATCTGTGAAGTACACCCGATATTATTTACACAATTTATTTTACTCATGTGTACATTTATTTACATAACGTTATTTACTAATTTATATTAATTTTACTTTTCACATTTATTATGTTATTTTTATCATCTTTTATTTATTATTTATTTATTTGTATGTATTTATTGTGTGTAACATGTATTTGCGGCGCCGGACAACAATAAGTCTCACAGGAATCTTTGAGCGCTAAGGATAGTCATTGAAGTCGGTCAATTTACTAACATAAAGCCTTTTTAAAATGAAACTTTTATTACGTCGTCTCAAACTTTTTCGTCTGTGTGTTGCATGTCGCGTGACGGTCGGCTACGGAGTAGGGATAAAGTGAAATGCGCTTGTCAGAGCAGCCAGGCGCTTAGTAACAGAAATCGACAGAATTGAAACATCAGTTTTAATCCTCAATTTGTACAATAGAGATACGACAGAAATAGGCGGGGTGGTGGTATCTACCCCTGAGGGCTCACAAGATACCACCAGTAGCTTGACCAGCACATAATTTTTCGCTTACAATAACATCCTAATATAGAGTTGTAGGTGTTACACTTGGTTTAAGTTAGGTCATGCCAATCAAAAGACGCTGTTGAATTCCAAGAATAACTAACTAAATAACTAAACTAACATAATCACTCGTTAATACTCATCTTGTCACGAAACTCAAAGCTACATAAATCAAATAAAGGCATGGCCAAAACAAAAGTGAACCAAAATGCATTCTATACCATTCAATGAACGACTTCAATGACTTAAGAATTAAAATTGTAATCTATCCAATAACTAGATGGTGCTTAATAAATTTCATCAATGAAAATCTTCAAAGAATCTTCAGACTCCTGAAAAAAAAAAAGCGTAAATATTTAGATCCTTTGAGAGACTAATTGTTTATGTCCTAAGCCTATCTACATATCTTACATCTAGTCGTAGCCAACATAAAGAAGGCTATATCTAGTTTTAACCAAATGAAATCGGCTACATCTAATATTAGCCGTGAACAAATCTGTTACACCTAGGCTTAAACACCGAAGTGCGGCTACACCTAGTTTTAGCCGGCTTGAACTAGGTGTAGCTACACTTCGGGTATTAGCCGTAGCATATGTACATATTACTGAACACGCAATAAATAAAGTGTTAATTGACCTTTGACCTGTTGGCGGAAAACTTATTCAAAGCATTATTCTTAAGGTAGTCGTGTGATTTTCAGCTTCGCCCTTGGTCCGAGCAGATTCTTGGCACACTCTCTCAATGCCACCCTCAAGGTCACCCCTAATAGTGCCCATGCGGAGCCCTGACCTCTACCGAGGTCAAGGACCGGAATAAGGTCATTTTTTTTCTGAGTGTTTCAGCGGCTGTAAAGATGCTTGGACCAACGGACCAATTATCCAATACTAATTTTATTTTTCGACCTTTTTTATTTATTTTAATACTATTTATAATATGTAGTTACTTTCTTTATTTATTTTAACAAATAAGTTTAAATAATGTTTATTTATACATAAATAATTATTTTTGTGTAGGTTCTTAACAGCCCTAACACCAGATGTGTTACGATTGACAACCATTAACACAGCAGGTACTAACGTAAATATGTATTGAGTGTATCCTTCTTCAATAGACGAAGAATGCTTTCTTGAGTTTTTTTTACGCTGAGAGCTTTACGATTTCTGAGTGAGTTTTGTAGAGTCGGACGTAGAGATAAAAAAATCCATTTGATTGTCACTGTTGTTTGCATGGTGCAAGTCGAAAGCATTCTTTCTCATATATGTATTATATATAGTATATTATCGGTTTTTTTCACTGTTTATTTACATATATCAGACAAGGAAAAATTCTAGAAACATTTTCACATAAACAAAATAAATTCCCTTATATATTTTTGTAAATAATTTTGAGACAAACATCATCCATACACCAATTTAATTATAGCTAAAAATTCGTATATGTAAATGGTGTCATTAAGGGGAGTTATTCCTTGTATATTACTTCATTATTATGTGATTTATTTAACACTTCGTAAATCACTTAATAAAATATCATTATTTTTCATTTTCACAATTTAGCCCGGACGGTAGCTGTTTGAATGAAAGCTCTATAGCTCAGACGATAATATCTCAAGCTCTGCCCGCTCTCTCGCCGCGTTTGAGCTTATCGTTCAGTCCAAAATCATCCGACCGAACTCGCTTGGTAGACCCACAAAATCGACGCAGCCTTGAGCTCAACAAATTCGATACTAACACTAGCAAGCTAGAATCGACGGTGACTGAAACCGAAGCAGACGATACTGCACCTAAAACGGAAGACAATAAACCCGAAACTTCTGTAACGCCAAACAGATGGCCATTAAAACCGGGGGTGCTTGTACACGTCAATTCTAATCACACCCTCAGCCCCAAAAACCAGACTAGGGTGGCCTCTAACAATGCCAAAACTGAGTCGAACCTAGGTCTTCTCGAGAGGAATGCTAACAACAAAACCGCCACCCCTGCAGCTAAGCCTAAACGCCAAAACGTGATAAGCGAGATCATGAGGAACTTGAGAATCAAGAGTGACAGTTCGGACGACAGCGGCAAGTACAAGAAGATCAATAAAAGTAATAAGCGTGTCATGTCACTGGCATTGGGCCGGTCTGGGTACGCGCCGAAAAACAGATTTAAATCATTGTTCCAAAGCGATTCTCCCAATGTAGTCGTCACTGAAGGAGGTAGATTATTTATTGCTCGTATTAAAAAGAAAATACCCGTGAAGGTAGTTATGATTCGATTCATTAGTAATACGTTTGAGAAAGCATATAATTTCCTTTTTTTATTGCCCTTGTAGGCAGACGAGCACACGGCCCACCTGATGGTGAGTGGTTACCGTCGCCCATGGACCTCAGCAATGCCAGGGGCAGAGCCAAGCCGCTGCCTACAAAATCCCTCAAGATAGAGCCTCGTGAGCTCACTTACTCGTTCGATTACGCTGGCATAGCCTAGCTTAAGTAGAAAAAAAATGTAACCGAAAAAAAAATTTGGATACATTCTGAGCATCTTTTATCTTCTGAGTATCTTTTATCTTTGTTGTTGGTAGTACTCTTAAACAGTATTATTTATTTGACAACATTTTTTTGTCTAAGTACCAGCCACTAGAACTTAGTACATCGTATTTGCGATGTTGACAAAGAATCAAGTCAAAAGCCACTACACGCTAGGACTATTAAAATATTCACGGGTTCAATCTAGAATAATCTGACTTTATGACATTGTGTAGAAAAATTCGAATAAGCACTTCATAGTTATTAGTTTACAACGCTCAATCAGTTTGTAGTGAGCTCTTAATTTAACCGAGTCAGTAATTAATTAGATTCTTGTCGGTATTGCTCGAAAATAATATTGGATCATTACTACCTCTACGAATAATAGAAAGCGCAGAAAGAAAGTTAAAATTGACAATAAACAACGAATCCCTCATACAAATTTACATAAAATTTATTTTTATTTATTTTCTGTTGATTCAAGCATTGTTTTTTTTTTGTTTTTTTTTTTGCGTTTATTTAATTTAACTTCCTTTTTGTTCTACATATAACATTGCACTATCGTTACAAAGTTTCACAGTATTCAAGCTCACAATTAATACATAGTTTACTTTCTTTATTGCAAAAAAGAAATATGAATGTAACAAAAACAAGTTAAGTCAATCTCTCTATTTCAATGAAATCCCTGAAACTAAATTTAATGAACAACATCCACAGGTTCTAGTGGGTGAGTTTCAGGCAAACTATAAGTGTGACAGTAAAAGCTTTAAATAAATTTAAAATATTTAGATATTAATTTTTTTGGATGTAAGAATTTAGTAATTTTTACTGGTAGTAGGACCTTTTGTGAGTCCGCGCGGGTAGGTAACACCACCCTGCCTATTTCTGCCGTGAAGCAGTAATGCGTTTCGGTTTGAAGGGTGGGGCAGCCGTTGGAACTATACTTGAGATCTTAGAACTTATATCTCAAGGTGGGTGGCGCATTTACTTTGTAGATGTCTATGGGCTCCAGTAACCACTTAACACCAGGTGGGCTGTGAGCTCGGCAACCCATCTAAGCCATAACAAAAAAAAAATACAATGTTCGTCTTATGAATGATTCTCTTGCGTTAATTAGAGACGTAACAAAATACTTTTACAAGGTCCAAGTTTCCAATCACAGCCCATTAATTCAACTAACGCGTTTTACAGCAAAATAAATCTTAGCATCTACAATATAGATTTCAATGTATTCCCACATTATCGTATAGACATTTAACCGATCGTTACATTTATTGACAGTTGACATTTATTGACAGTTGACATTTATTGACAGTAAACATGTATTATATTGTCGGCTGCGAATACGCCATAACATGATTACGGGAATTTAATATTCACACTAAAACGTTTCCTTCTTTTAACGCCTCATGGCTCACTGGTGCCGCATTTGAGAATGGAGATCAAATCAATTTAAAGTCGTATTTAACGAGAAATAAATCAGAGATTACTTTATACAATTTGTTGGCCACTTATTGGCGTTACTGGTTCCATCCGCAAATATGTTTACCCTGCTACGCATTGCATGAGGTGCCTGTCAGGAAATTCTATAGCATTACCTAAAGCCAGTTCTGTTTTGTACTAGCTATTCCAACTAGAACTGATCCAATCATTGAAGAGAATCTGTTCCGGCAAGTATGTCTCAGAATGTGTGGCTAGGTGTAAGCTGTTGATTCGTTTATATAGGACACAAAATTCCCGTGGTCATTTTTATTTTTCAAATTAAAACCATCACCGGACACCTCACATTCCTCGAATACCGTAAGCCCAGAATAGTCGTGTTAAAATTGAAGACACCTCGAAATTGCCATCTAACAAAATCAAAAAAAAATTATTCAATTTTGAATTTCAATTTCAATTACAAATGATGATTCAATGTTAACGCGAATGATTCCCTTTCTCTCCCCTTTCTCCCCCCTCCCCCCGCATAGTCATACACACACACACCACCATCATGGAGCCTGCAGCATGTTGTGTTTTTAATTTGCGCATGTTTTAGTTGTGTCATTCAAAAGGCCAGTTAAGGCTCACAAAACCGCGCTACCGATTAGCGAAACGCCCGTAAATAGACCGGCTAGAAAAAGGAAAAAGCCCGGAGACAGTGAGTAAAGCATGCTTTGTTATAGAGCTTTTTTAATTACATATCGGGGTAATCAAATGTATTTGTACTGAAGGAAATTTCAAGTTTAAATAGATTCGCTCGATTATTAAGTTCACTCACTTAGCTTAGCTTTTTAAAAACAAATTGAAGTTTTTTTTACGTGAATAGTAACCCAAAAAAAAATACTTCATATCATCTTAATATGTCTAGTTCATGACATTAAAATACAATGAAAAAACCACGAATATTATGAATGTATAAGAAATGATAGATTTTCTAATAAGATCAATCGAATATCCAAAACCACACAATCGTTTTCCAAATTATAATTAGGATTTTTTACTATACATATCCAAGATTTCTCATTCAAAGCTAATGAAATTTCCTTTAAAACAAATTTGTTTTGGTCTCCCCAATTTAGCATACAAAATTGATAAGCTTAGTTCACATAAGATTTACCTTTGTATCTCAACGTTAGTAGTAATGAATGAGGAACATGGAATGATAACCTGGCCCTATTCCAACAACACATGAATGCCCTCCATCATGAGAGATGAGGACAAAGTCTCCAATGCAATATAAGCTCCATAAGAGTAAGTCGTCATCATAGCTCATAGATTTCGAAATAAAACCTCTGAATATTTCCACAAAGGATTCAGTATCTCTAAAGACCTGGAAGAGACAGTCCACAAATATTTTACATAAACAATAAACTCTAATAAAGCTTCAAACCTTTCTAGATCAATGTAGATCTAATTGTCAGAATATTATAATTGTATAAAGTAGTTGAACGTAAGATAAAAAGGCAAAGGATCAAACAAATGAATTAATTGTTTACCAGTGAGCTCTGCTGTCACTTAATATTATACCCATATTTTACTGGTGGTAGAACATCTTGTGAGTCCGCGCGGGTAGGTACCACCACCCTGCCTATTTCTGCCGTGAAGCAGCAATGCGTTTCGGTTTAAAGGGTGAGGCAGTCGTTGTAACTATACTGAAACCTTAGAACTTATACCTCAAGGTGGGTGGCGCATTTGCGTTGTAAATGTCTATGGGCTCCAGTAACCACTTAACAACAGGTGGGCAGTGAGCTCGTCTACCCATCTAAGCAACAAAATATATATATTGTGACATATCAAGTGCCACCCTTTACACGTCTCGACTCCTTAAGCAGGAGGATACAGCCCGTATTTAATTTGCAATATCTTTGAAACAATACTTGTGTGGTCCACAGGCCCTCCTACGAATGGCGTAGATAATGCCGCGAACGGCAACCTTGGGGCGGAGCACCCGGGTCTCTACGAGAACCTGCCGTTCCACGGTCTACAGCAACCTCCGAACAAGGTATACCTCTCACATTACTCCATAGACCGTTAGCTTCTGACAAGACGCCTTTGATGGACATTAAATGGATATTTCCTTAGCCTTAAAATTGTAAAGAAACCATCATTGAAATACTTTTAATAACTAAATAAACAGTGAGCAGTCTAGTATCATACGGATAAATAAATAATAGTTTAAAAAAACTAACAAAATACGCTTTTATAGAAATATTTTTTTTTAAAATAATACCATTTTTTCTTACACTATTTTTAATTCAAATTTATTAATATTTATTTTCAATTTTTTAGTTGGATTTTCTATAAAAGCGTATTTTGTTAGTTTTTTTTAAACTATTATTTATTTTTCATTTTTTAGATGAATTTCAATTTTTTCAAATTTTTTAAATATTGAATTGTCATAAGTATACCAAATTTTTAATCTGACGTTTTGAAGAGGGTCAAAATGATGTTCAAAGATACCGTTACGAACATACATACGTCTGAAGCTAATAAAAGCGTATTAAAAAGAACAAGTCTTCAAGTATGATCATTTATCGCCAAGTGGATAGTTCATTGGAAACATAGTCCATAGAGCCGTCTTGTCAAAGGACCGGTCTATTTTGTGCATCAGCTTTAAGTTTTATGAGCTCGATTTATTTTTCTGTTGCTTCAACAATTAATTTGCGTTCAAACTAATAATATTCTGTTTTCGTTTCGTTTTGTTTTCATGTTTTGTTGCATGCGTTACAAAGCCCGTGCAAGCCATCCAGCCGAGGGTAGTTGATAGGGCACAGAAAGCACCGAAAGACGTCCAGACGCTTCAGAAGCAGCTCACAACGAACCCTTCCTTCGCCCCGCGAGTGGTCTGTCCGCCGTTCGTACAAAACACTCTATACTCAATACCGACGAATGCTCGGCTTCAGTACGGGGTTCCCCTCATCAGTCCCCTGCCGCAGATGTACCCGGTACACCAAGTCCTGCTGAACCCGTACCTGCCGTCGATGCAAGCGTCCTACTTAAAACATATCCCGACCATCGACGAGGAAGCCGACAGGAAATTCTCTTCCCTAAACACGAGAGCGTCGAGAAAGCCGCCCAGGTTTCAGTCAATGAGGATTGTCAGGAAACGTAACATCGAGAGGTTCTACCCGAACACTGAATACGGAGAAAACTTTAATGAGATCAATAACAACAAGAGCGGATCAGATAACGACAGGGACTCCACCGAAGACAACCTGTATGAGAACTGTCCCAATAGCGTGGACTTGATACCGCAAGATAAATACGAAAATCTAACTGACTCCATACAAATATGCGAAATAAGCTGCGACGAAATGAACCTCTCAACTAACACTTTGAGCAGACCGGTTCCAGCTCCGCGGACAAAAATATCACCTATGACGTCACCAGTGAAAAAAGACCACGTCTATGTAAACCTCTCAATGCCACTAATAAACACTAAATATACGAGGTCTTTTGACGCCATTGACGGGCCAATCAGAGCGTCGCGGTCCGCTGTGGAGCTCTCGGCTAAAGACGAAGAGGGAAGTGACCAAGCTGACACAGATAACAACGACCAGGAGACAGATGCTACTAATGACGAAAATACAAAGCCCAATATAATAGGTGCTACCCCTAAACGAAACTTGTCAGTTATACTACCGTCCTCGTCTTTAGTGAAATCTGTAGTGGACCAACTGAACGAGCAGGGGATCAATAAAGTAGGGCTGCCACCGAGGCAAGTGATAACGCCAAACAAAACGCTGCAAATACCAAAGTTGGTTGAGAAACCGGTGCCGAAGCGAAGCGTCGTGCGCCGCAGCAGCTCTGTGCAAGGCAACTTGGCTATGGACACTGATAATGGTCAGGTATAATGCTTTTTCGCGTTCACTTTTCGCCACCATTTTCGTTTCGCATCAGCAAACGTGTTGCAAATAACAAACTAACTAACACTAACATTTTGCTTCTTTACAGAACACTAACGTCTTACAACAGCAATACATGCAAAAGCGCAATCACTTTAGCAATTTAAGTGCGAAAGGGAAGAACAAAAAGAATTTTCAGATACCGCTCCAAAAACACCACAGCTTCTGTTACTTCCAACCCATTAGAGTAGACAAGAGAACGCCGGCAGACAGGTCGTACAACAACACCATCGGTCCGCTGATCTATCAGCCCGCAGACCCTCAGTACTACACGAAAACCTTGAACAGAACACGAGAGAAAAACACCCACAAGTTAAATCGCCTAAAGAAGTCAGAGAGCCTTAGAGAGAAGCTCTCTTGCGTGGGTCTGTATGACCCCTGCGACAGGGCGGAGCACCCAGAGCCGGGGCGCGGAGCCCGGCCGCGACCCCCAGGCCCGGGACACACGGCCAACTCAGTGCGGAACATAAACACTGACTACCCAGGTAGCGACGCGACCAAAGACGAAAAAACAAAGCATAAGAAGTTAGTCTATGCCGACCTAGCTCTAGGTAACCACAATATGAAGTTCAAAAACACTGTCAATTCTAACAGGCATCTGTATGACACGTATAGTATAAGTAGTGCCGATACTAACAATGTCACTAACGGTGGCCACAAGCACGCTCCGAGCCAGACAAGGGCAAGCGGCCAGCAGAGGAGTGACTACGCCACTCTAAAATTTAACGAAATTGATGTATGAGGTAAGTTCGAAGTTCCTCACAAAGTAGTTATGAGGTACTCTATCTAGAAGTTCCGTGTAAATTCCAAAGAACTCACTTTAACAAATTCGCAAAACTCTATCTAAAATTTGAGAATGAAACCTGTATATAACTGAATTCATCTCTGAGCTAAAAATGGTAATATGTGACAGAAGCTTGCGCAGCACACACGCTTTCAAAGTCCAAGCCTATAAAACAAAACTTTTAATCTTAAAAGCATGTAATGCAGTGTTGTGACGATTTGTTTTTCTTTCTAGGAGCGCTTTACCAAGAGTGACACGTACATATTTTAAAAAAAGGTAATAATTTTTCTAAATTAAAAAAAAAACGAGGCAATTTGTCATATCTACTAATTACTTAGCTCTCTTAACCACAGCTCAATTTTATCTTAATTCAATTTGTAATTATAAATAATTTGCTTGTTTTTTTGTATGTAAAACAGTTTAAGTATGTAAATAACACATATTACCATTTTTATATATTTTCTTTCAAAATTCTTCACTTTTCTTAGATTGTTTAAATAAAATACTCCTTTCTATATTTATGAACTAGCGACCCGCCCTCGCTTCGCTAAGGAAACTGTAATTTATTATACACACACTTTGTTTATTTATTATAAAAAAAAAGAACACAATATTCCTAACCTAAAAGTACATGTTATTATCCGCAACATGCTTCGTCAGATTACAGAAATAAAGTTATCAGCAACATGCTTCGTCAAAAATTTATTATTGATTTCTCCACTATTTAATGGATGTTATTATACATATAAACCTTCCTCCTCAATCACTCTATCTATTAAAGAAAACCGCATCAAAATCCGTTGCGTAGTTTTAAAGATTTAAGCATACATAGGGACAGACAGATATAGGGACAGAGAAAGCGACTTTGTTTTATACTATGTAGTGATGCGTCGGAGCTATGACGTCGCACAGTACTTGAACTACCTCAGTGATCCTGCTGATACCGTTCGTAATAAATTAACCTTACAACTGATTTCCGCTCTGCAGCCTTACCGGCCCGAGGACCAGTTCATCTACGCCGACGCCGACCTCAAGGACTACGGGCCCATCAACTACAAAGCGGCCTCGATCTACGCCCAGATGAAGAAGGTGAAAGAACAACAACAACTACAAGAGATCTACGAGAAAGAGAACCCGGAGAGTGACATGCTGTAGTCGGCAAACAGTTGCAGATGTTTCCCCTCGACCAGAGCCCCCAGCCCCACCAGTGCTATCCGACTGGTCGGCCTGGGGGCTCATCTAATGCTGGACTTACTACTCACACTCGGATGTAAGCTTCTCTATCACGTGAGACGAGTGGCAAGTGCGACCCTGCTGATACTAATTCCAAAAGTGAACGCTACCACCTTGAGACTAGAGCTGGATTTCTCAAAACTAATAAAATGATCTAACATTCACACTGAAATTTCGCGGCAGAAGTTTGATCTGTCAGACATCCGGGATCTTCCAACATCGAAGCTATCTGTGGTGCAAATGTCTTCTACCATCTACAGTTTACGAGCGAAACGATATGTCGGATCCTTGTATCTAAAACGCTATGAACTATTTAGTGTACACAATCAATATACTATTAAAAATACTAATCAACGTGCTTCACTTAATTTCTGGTCATAGTGGTAACTTAACTGTTAGCCCTGATAACCGGATAAGGAACAGGTGTCTGCTGGCTTTCTCACGTATTTCTGCTGAGGCACGGTCCAAGGAAGGCACAGGACAACGATTACCAGACCGAGGATATCACGTCTGAATACGCAGTGGTGATGCTAACAAACCAGTCTATTCAATGGCTGTTCTGACAACAGTAACTGTGAACTTGCGGAGCTTAGTGACGTCCAAAGAAACGACAAACTTTTTGCCAACTAAGCACTCTCGGAAAGCTCGGAGCGATTTGTAACTGAAATTATTATAAACCCCGCGCGTGTACAGTTTGCCTTAGATTAATAATGGCGGTAAAACATTAAATATAAAAAAAAGATGTAAATAAAATTTGTAAATGGACTATAGTTAAGCGGAAATCACAGATGACTTTAAGACAAAGTGACGTTAAAGATTTTTTTTACGTGATAAAAACATTTTATTTAAATTTCTTATCATTATGCGATGCTGATTCAACACATTTTAGGCGCAATCACACGTTTCTCTATACGTTTTGTAACTGGTCACGGAGGGACCGCGGAGGACCCGATTTCGCGGAGTACATACATAATGATTACAGCTTCAATTTATCGTATATTTCATTGATTTTGGATGACTAATGCAATAAAAAATATCGGCCAGAATCTATAAAATAAATAAAATGATTATAGTTAATTTGGTAAATCACAACTTTACAGTTCTGTAGTCGTAAATTGTCCGTCCTGGGAACGCTAATACACAATCAAACACACAATTATTAGAATACAGCAGTGTAACGAGAATCTATTGCTTAATTCACCAGACCTGCGGGATACCACCTGGGTTGGTACCGGTGTCGAGGTGTAACGCTACGCAGTCGAAGGTTTTCTTGGAGGTATCCGCTACGAATACTTGATTAGAACCTGTTCGGCGACTCCAATATTGACATGACAATGTCATTGAAACATCAGACTTTAAAAGGTTAAATCGGTTCTAGCCCATCGCCATATGTATGCACGAAATGGGAAATATCACTATATGTATTTGTGTTTATCCTATTTGTTTAACACCTTCGAATCGGCATTAGAGATGGTCTCATTACAGTACCATCAGCTTACGATAGGTATAGCACTAGTACATTGAACAGATAGCTGTGTAAGTACACTTGCAGTCCCACCGCAGCCCCGACGCAGTCCCGACACAGTCCCGGCGCAGTCCCAGCAGGTTTTACTAGTTAGATATAAAGCGCAGAAACTAGTTTCATAGCAGTCCAACTGAGGTTGAATGATTGGCGGAATCTCTAGACGTTTGGCGCCGCGGCTTCAGACCGGTGGTCGTGATGTAATCAGTCCTGCCTTTCAATGCGTCTAGCATCAACCATGAGTCGGCTCACACACAGTAGTAAAAATACTCAATGTCGTTTGAAGTTTCTGTATTGCCAGACCACAGTAACGTTTTCTTTTTCTTGCTTAGATGGGTTAACAAACATACTGCCCATCCGGTGTTAAGCGGTTACTGGAGTCCATAGACATCTACGACGTAAATGCGCCACCCACCTTGAGATATCAGTTCTAAGGTCTCAGTATAGTTACAACGGCTGCCGCGCCCTTCAAACCGAAACGCATTGCTGCTTCACGGCAGAAATAGACAGGGTGGTGGTGCCTACCCGCGCGGACTCACAAGAGGTCCTACCACCAGTAATGTCTTAGCTTCACTTCTAACCACCTTCTTCCATTTGGGTTATTTTTAACGGGATACGATCACTCGTGAATATATATTTTGTGATTCATGAATAAGCCCGTCGTCAAATCTTTTGTAAGCGTCGTCAAAACTAAATCGACCGGCATTTACATTAATTTATTTCTTGTCTTTGAAACAAATTAGTTTTATGTTTATAAAACAACGAAAACACGAATTTTAATTAATTTTAAGCGTACTACTACTATTCTGTATTTATTTGTGGTAATTATAAAGTTGTTTTTTAATTGATTATTTTTCATGTTGTGATAATAGTGATGAGTGTTTTTTTTTTGTTGGAACGTAGTTCCTTATGGGACTATGCGGAGGGGTAGCCTAACCCGGAAAAAACGTCCGTAACGTAAGATTTTTATTAGTAATGCACACAGTGTACGACTTAACTTTGTAATGACGTACAAAAAATAACATATTTTTTTATCATTTATTGACCATGACCTCAGAGCGTTCGTTTGCGCAATACACTAACTCTTATGCAAACAACCGTGAATGAAGTGTACCACAATAAGTTCGCACGTTACCGAATGACCGTGGGCTGTTGCGAAACCTCCAGTTTTATTTTCTTTATACCTCGAATAGAACTTAAAACTAATATTTTTATAATAAGGAACTTCGTTCCTATCCGGTGTCCCACGATACCACACATCTTTTATTTTTGTTAATTTTACGGCGCTTATAGTGGAAGTGCGAGCACGTGGTGATTTTTTTTACTTTCACCTGAATCACCAATCAGACGATGAAATCGCTGCTTTTACTGCGAAGGCTTTCCTCAGTTTGCCGCTAGGGGCGCTAGGGGCTGTTCCAACTCCATACAAACTTGAGTTAACTTTAACGCGATCGAGAAGTTAAAAAGCTCGCACTAAGCACACCGTTTGTGTCGCTTGAAGTTGGATTGTCGTCTCGTAGTGCTAACCAAAGCCCGTTTATTACGAATTGAAACGAAACTATTTTTTTGTTGTATACCAAATAAATAATTTATTTCCGATCAGCTTTAAATAAATAAATAAAAATAGTTATATATAATTTTTTTTCGTACATACTTAAATGTCGTACTAATAATGTTTATTAAACTATTCTATAAATAGGAAAAAGTAATCAAAAGTATGTCAGCTCTCTTTCATTTTGACTTAGTAAAGAAATACTGAAATTGCTATTTGATTTAGCGGTTTTGTTATCTTCAAATTAAAAAAATGCACTGTTCATTTTGTTTGCTTTAATTAATTTAAAAAAGTCTAATGCATTCTTTTTTAAAATTACCGTACTGTCAGAAATCATCTGAAGACAAAATCACATTAAGAATAATAAAATCGAAATGTTTTAGAACGAAAACAATTGTAAATAAAATAATATTAAATAAGTGAACTTGTTATAATATTGTCAGAATAGTGTTAATAAATAAAAATGATGGTTTTTATTTTCTTTTTGTTTTCTTGGACTAATAAATAATCCGATTAGCCCTACCACTAGTAATCACGCGAACATATATTATATGAATTTTGGGAATTTGTCTTTTAATAAAACCACATTAATCATTCATCGTGAAAGTCGTCGTTTTTAGTAAAGAATAATTGAGATTAATTACATAGAAAAAATATACACACGCCACCGGAAATAAAACTAGCTCTTGACATTTGTAGTCGTCGTGGCCTAAAGGATAAGGCGTCCGGAGCATTCGTATCTAGCGATGCACCGGTGTTCGAGTCCCACTGGCGGGTACCAATTCTTCTAATGAAATACGTACTCAACAAATGTTCACAATTGACTTCCACGGTGAATAATATCGTGTAATAAAAATCAAATCCGCAAAATTATAATTTACGTAATCACTGGTGGTAGGACCTCTTGTGAGTCCGCACGGGTAGGTACCACCACCCTGCCTATTTCTGCCGTGAAGCAGTAATGCGTTTCGGTTTGAAGGGTAGCCGTTGTAACTATACTGAGACCTTAGAACTTATATTTGAAGGTGGGTGGCGCATTTAAGTTGTACATGTCTATGGGCTCCAGTAACCACTTAACACCAGGTGGGCTGTGAGCTCGTCCACCCATCTAAGAAATAAAAAATTTTTTTTGAGATATAATTAATTACATAGAAACAATATACACACGCCGAGGGAAATAAAACTAGTTATTGACACTCATCAGCAATGGCGGGGACACATTCAAAAAACCACTAAACAAAATAAAACAAAATTATTTCTTAAAATAATTTATTTTCAAGAAACATATTTTTTTAAATAAAATTTCTATCACAGCCATTTTTGTTGGTTTAAACATAATATAATTTTTACAAAAACAATAATATCAGATACGTAAAATATTATTAATATGTTTACAATTAGCTAATACCACTATCTATATAATAGATAGATATAGATTACAATAGACTTAAAGATATGTCTATCATATTATTGCAATTATTATATTATGATACATTTAAAAAAATCTCGACAAGCAATTGTTTTTAATTTAATTATTATTCAATCGATTTGCGCTACTGGATAACTCGACTAATTAAAATAACAAGCAATGAGTTACCATAATAATCATTTGAAACTATTCCGATTTAAAATAAATCATTATTGTACAAAATCAATGAATCATTTGAAAAAAAAATCTTGTTTAAGTTAATCTCGTGGCGTACACATATCCTAACAATTCATTAGTAAATCACAATAAGGATACAAGAAAGAAATAATATATAAAAATTTACAATCTTACGTATGTTTTGAGCATATCTCCTTAAACCTAGATAAAATAATATGTTTGGCTTATGTATTCAAAATAATATTATTCAACATTTAATTTAGTGTATATACACAAAGGCCAAAGATAAAACGCTTCACTATTACTGATGGTAGGACCTCTTGTGAGTCCGCGCGGGTAGGTACCACCACCCTACCTATTTCTGCCGTGAAGCAGTAATGCGTTTCGGTTTGAAGGGTGGGGCAGCCGTTGTAACTATACTTGAGACCTTAGAACTTATATCTCAAGGTGAGTGGCGCAGTTACGTTGTAGATGTCTATGGGCTCCAGTAACCACTTAACACCAGGTGGGCTGTGAGGTCGTCTACCCATCTAGGCAATAAAAAAAAAAACAAAAAAACCTCAGTACGTTTTTCTCATGTATTACCAACTAAACATATTTTCAGTTTTTTCTATAATATATTAACATAAATAAAAAAAATCAAAAAGAGAAACCGTAATAGAAAATACACAAAATCATCATCATCATGATCCTATAGCAGTTTATTGCTAGACATAGGCCTCTCCAATTACACGCCACTGAGCATAATCCTCGGCTCCTCTCATCCAGCTCCTGCCAGCCACCCTGCACAGATTCTCACTCCACCGAGCCCTACATAAGCCAATTCGCAGTCTCCACTCAACAAAACACACATGGTACAAAAAACAATATGTCAGCGAATATCATTGAGCAAACACTAGTTCTATTAAGCATTTAACTTATAAAACAATATAAATATCACACGGCAAATGGTTGTAGTACTAAAAAGTCCGTAGCAATGTGAATGTGGTCCGCCTTAAAACATAGGATTGTGGTCTCAATCAAATAAGTACGGTCCTGCTTCATATCAGGAAATTATAGTGGTTACTACCTCCGCGAGCACTCGCTTTGCCTCTATTATTTAAGACAAGACTATTTAAGATATGATTATTAAGGACAAGGCTATTTAAGACCAGATTATATAAGAGAGAACTATTTAAGACAGGATTATTTAAGAGAGAACTATTTAAGATAGGATTATTTAAGAGAGAACTATTTAAGTTTCTTTTTGAGTGTTTAAAGGGTACAAAGCTACTTTTTTTTTAATTGCCTTTGTAGGCAGACGGGCATACAGCCCATCTGATGGTGAGTGGTTACCGACGCCCATGGACTTCAGCAATGCCAGAGCCAAGCCGCTGCCTACCGCCATCAAACGTTCACCGATCAGTAGTCACAACCTAATGAATGTCAGTAAAATATTCATTAGTTTTATACTCATAACATTTACGAACACAATTTTGAAATAATATCTCACTAATCTTACGGAATTCGTGTCAACATCTCGACGGCCTAATTAAAGCAAGATAAAAAATCACAACAGCTTTTCTTAGTTAACGAACTTAGTCAAAATAAATTACACAATAACTTTATTACTCATATAACTTATATAATTATTTAGGCTTAATTGTCAAGCTAATCTTATCGATAAATTGCACTGAATGAAATCTAAACGAAGCTCGATTTTTGATAGAAATATTTATAAAATCAATTACTCTGCCTCAAAGACTTTTTTAATTTTGAAAACTACAGAGGACCTATTGCCAAGCGGTCTTTTGAATCAACATTTTCATTTGACACTAAACATACCATAACAGGTCAAATGACCCATTTTGTAATTTTGCATTGAAAATGCACGTATCGTCTTATTGCTTTTGCACATTAGACTTTTTCTTACCAATTAATCTACAGTTATTGTACTATTTTTTTTACTTTGTTTCTACCCGATATAGTAAAAATAGGTATAAGTAAGTCTTGGTATGATTAGTGTTGATTAACCGAACTTGAACAAAAAATGTCTCGACTCCGCGCGTTTATCTCAATATTATCTCAACAAAAACTGAATATTGTCACTGGCGACCTCAAATGCCAAAGGGTAATTTGCTGGCCATAGCTCTCAAAGTTTTTTTTTATTGTCTTTGTAGACAGACGAGCATACGGCCCATCTAATGGTAAGTGGTTACCGTCGCCCATGGACTTCAGCAATGCCAGGAGCAGAGCCAAGCCGCGGCCTACCGTTAAGTATTCTCCATAAGCCTCGTTTGAAGAAGGATATGTCATAGCACACGGGAGCTCATTCCAAAGCCGGATGGTACGTGACAAAAATGATCTTTGGAAGCGCACTGTGGATGAACGCCGTGGCTCCAGGTAGTATGGACGAACTCTACTCCGGTGGCGGGCGATGCGATATACCTCTATCTAAGTAATTTACGCTTAAAAATCGTATTGACCTCTACCGAAGTACACGTAGTCCGAACACCATTTCCTCGCCTTAAGATCTTTCGAGCAGCAAGCCGGATAGGCTAGCTTTGATTTGGTAAGCTTGGCGCATCTCTGGCATAAATCCAACAACTCGTCCTGTAGACATGGAGAATGCATTGTTTGAAATTAGCTTAAAGACATTCCAATACTTCCAGACATCTTAGATGGCTATAAAACTAATATATTCAACGACAGCTCTGCTTTTTTTGGGCAGGTGCCGAACCTCATTCAAAGTGTCCGCGTCTATGGGGCACGCGGGGTATGTGGGACTTGATGGTCTGCTGATGTTGGGAGCAGTCCGCGGGTTCAAGAATGCTTTTAGGGCCCCAACCATCTAACGAATCCCTTGCAGTCTTTCACGTCCGATCTTTGCCCCGAATCAGAACTCAGTCAGAGTAGGGGAGCTCCCGCAGTCAACACTACAATAAGATTCTACATGAAGGACCTAAGGACGCTCGACCGACGGGCCCTCAAGACCATCGTCAATGACCCGTGGCTCAGTAAACAGTGGAGCCATGCAACTCCATCAACGAGGCGATCTATAAGTATCAAGTAACCAGAATGACATACATAACCCAATCGAATCGAGCAAGGGACAACACTAAGAACGTTTTTTTTTNCAGTCAACACTACAATAAGATTCTACATGAAGGACCTAAGGACGCTCGACCGACGGGCCCTCAAGACCATCGTCAATGACCCGTGGCTCAGTAAACAGTGGAGCCATGCAACTCCATCAACGAGGCGATCTATAAGTATCAAGTAACCAGAATGACATACATAACCCAATCGAATCGAGCAAGGGACAACACTAAGAACGTTTTTTTTTTGAATTCGTGTCAAGGCACTTACATCTGTGTGACATTCAGCTGACTCCGTGAAGATCTGACTGCCCGGCGCCAACCAGGGCGGTCTTGAGGTGGCGGTCCGAACCAGTGCGATACAAAGGAACAGCGCCATCAAAAACATTAAGTTCCTCTGTAAAAGAAAATTGATAAATCAATCGGCAGGTCAATCGGCAGATTTTTACTGGTGGTAGGACCTCTTGTGAGTCCGCACGGGTAGGTACCACCGCCCCGCCTATTTCTGCCGTGAAGCAGTAATGCGTTTCGGTTTGAAAGGTGGGGCAGCCGTTGTACTGAGACCTTAGAACTTATATCTCAAGCTGAGTGGCGGCATTTACGTTGTAGATGTCTATGGGCCAACACAGTAACCACTTAACACCAGGTAGGCTGTGATCTCGTCCACACATCTAAGCAATAGATATTATTTGTTAAAGTAATAGGTTTCTATCTACGAAAATAAATGATTTCTTAAATCGTAATACCATCAAAAAACGATTTAGATTTAAGTCGCGATAATGTTGGTAAATTATGTATTAGTCATATCACAATTCCGATTGTCCTCTTCGAATGCTTTATTTTGTGATAGCCGTAATTAGAGCGGATTGTTACGCAAGTGCGGCTCGGCTTACATCGGGCCGGTGATGCGCCAACGATTGGTATCAGCGAATGACTACAGCGATCGAGGTCTTTACAAGCTTGATAAACATCAAGTGTTTAATGCCCGCGGAATTTACAAGCGCGACATGATGGGTGAACACACAGCCCACCTGGTGTTAAGTGGTTACTGGAGCCCATAGAGATCTACAACGTAACTGCGCCACTCACCTTGAGATATAAGTTCTAAGGTCTCAAGTATAGTTACGACTGCCCCACCTTTCAAACCGAAACGCATTACTGCTTCACGGCAGAAATAGGCAGGGTGGTGGTACCTACCCGCGCGGACTCACAAGAGGTCCTACCTCTAGTAAAAATTTGTTTTGTGCATCAATAAATAAAAATAAAGAAAAACCACAACAAGACTAGCGCCATTCCGTTGTCATATCTGAACTCTAGTCTCGATGGAGCCATCACTAATTCCTATCTGATCGATTCATTACACAAATCGTTACTACCATAGTCACAGACCTAAAGGCCTTAGGAGACCGTTTGGTCAGCTTAGAGAGAGAGAGAGAGAGAGAGAGTATTCTTTATTGTACACCAAAAAACAAATAAACAGTGCGATACATTAAAAACAAAAAAGTACAATTGGCGGTCTTATCGCTAAGAGCGATCTCTTCCAGACAACCATCAGGTGGACAAGAATCATTTGGAAACGAACTACGCGCGGTGTACCATTCCAGTGAAATACATATACATGTATGTACACACACATATACACATACATATCTCCGTAAATATACATACAATTAATACAAAGTATTATATAATATAATAATTATTATTAAAAATAAAAAAATAAAAATTAAATTTAAATTTAGTTGTAGTAAATAACTGATAAGCAATTGCGTATATCGATAAGTACTTCAACATTAAGTACCAACTTAATTTACGCAAGACTCGTCCCAATTATTACGGCAAAACAATATATGCCCTAATTCACTGGCGATATTTTCGAATGCAGCTTTTGTTTTGTAAATAATATTATGTTGTTTTGATCAAAACAGTTGTACCGGTTTCATTAATGACTTCGTTAATTTACACGTTACGATGCGCCAAATAAATGTTTAATTATCCATTTTCCAACTTAATTTCAATCAACAAATTTGTGTGGATATGCTATGCTTTGCTTTAAGTGGAGCGATTAAAGTATGTTGAAAAATGTCTCTTCGCAATAGCGCTCAGAGTATTAATAATCCTTATATTACTAATCAAACGCCTATGCGTTATCATAGATGATTCTTGTCCTGCTGAAAGCTGTCTGTAAGAAATTATCTTGGCGATAAGAGCGCCCATTTTTATATGCTTAATATATATTTTCTATTTTTCATTATGGAGTTTACAACAATTCAATGAGTAAATGACCAGTTTCCAACAATGTGTGTCACAGATTGAGGTGCTATCTCTTATCTGATGTCAGCATCCTTAACAAATATATGCTATGGCTATAGACTATACGAGTTAACGGCCTGCCCAGAATTAAGTGGTTACCAGACCTTACAGGTGTCACAATGTAAGCCTCTACATTGTGACACCTGTAAGGTCTGGTAACGCCCCCACCTTATGACATAACCCATGTGACATGCCCCACTTTTCAAACCAAAACTTCGACTTCTTTTTTACGTTTGAGAGATTACTTATCGCCTTGAGGCCTTTCCAGTTTTGCCAGGATAGATGAGCGAGCAAGGGCTCATCCAGGAGGGGTGGGATTTTCTAACAGCTACCCGAGCGCCTCCAAAAGAGACCTAACAACTCAAGAGTAACTGCTTTGGGAATGATCGACTTTATCCTGTAGAGACAGGCACGGTGGTGGTATCAACTTACAATATGTCCTAACACATTGAAAGTACCAGTGCGACCCAGTCTAAACTTAACCCCACGAGGCTCGCACATTTACCGAGCACCAACCGTTTCCATTTCATTTTGATATTTATTTCGTTTTGGAGTGATCGAGAAAGACATATCGGATGTGTTCTCTTCAGAAAGTATTTTCTTTATATGATATATAAGGAATGAAGGGACATTGTCAATGCTTCTTCATCGTTATAGTCTTCCAAAATTCGACCTGCCACCGTGATGTTGGAGCCAGTCACATACAAACCGACAGGCGTAGCTGCGTCACGGCAGAAATATACAAGATGTATACACCGGCGAACGCCATGCCACCAGTAATTTATAGCATGTGCTTTGAGGAATTGTTTGAGATGATCTCCTTTTTATCATCGCACCTCCCGCCATCGGAGCAGAGTTCATCCATATTATCTGGAACCGCTGCGTTCATTGACAGTGCGTTTCCAGAGGTCTTTTTTGCCCCGCACCATCCGGCTATGGAATGAGCTCCCCTCCACGGTATTTCCCGAGCGCTATGACAAGTCCTTCTTCAAACGAGGCTTGTGGAGAGTATTAAGTGGCTTGGCTCTGCCCCTGACATTACTGAAGTCCATGGGCGACGGTAACCACTCACCATTAGGTGGGCCGTATGCTCGACTGCCTAAAAGGGCACTAAGAAAAAAAAACGTTGTTATTCCCTCGTCATAGTGGCTGTTACTCAGTTAACATTATTTCATTATTTATTGTATTATTTAATATTAATTTTATATTAGTAGTTGACAATTTTAATGTTAATAATTTTGGTACAATTTCGTTTCATTTGATTTTTATTTATTATTATTTTTAAGAATTGTGAATAATTCTAATTTTAATTTTATTTTATTTTGATTTAAATTTTATGTAATTCTATGTAAAATTTTATGGACTTAAGTTGCCTGAAAAAACTCATTTTCTTTTGCACTTTAAGCGCAATGAAATGTTTTATCGACCAAATTAAATATCCAATTTATAAATTGTATATTTAATAATAATATTATATTGTTACACTTGTTCACAATTGTAAACAAGTGTAACAATATATCATATAGATAAAAATTAAGGATTTGTACATTAAAATCATAATCGCTTTGTGCTTGATTTTAAAACTGCGATTAAGATATTTAAAGTGATCACGCGATAGTGCTCTTTTTTTCTTTTTTTATTGCATATATGGGTGGACGAGCTCACAGCCCAGCTGGTGTTAAGTGACTACCGGAGTCCATAGACATATACAACGTAAATGCCGCCACCCACCTTGAGATTTCAGTTCTAAGGTCTCAGTATAGTTACAACGGCTGCCCCTTCAAGCTGAAACGCATTACTGCTTCACGGCAGAAATAGGCAGGGTGGTGCTACCTACACGCGCAGACTCACAAGAGGTCCTACCACCAGTAAATTAGCTTCGATGACCACTAAACAACAGTAGGGAATTACGCTCGTGGTAATTTCCACCCACAATACCTGTGTAATAAAAAGGCTAATGTACCGTTTCCAGACACCACAGCTTTTGACGGCCATCACACTCGTCCATTACGACGATGAGTTTGGCAAGTAAACTAACCCAAAGACACAGCCCACTGAGTTTCTCGCCGGATCTTCACAGTAGGTCGCGATTTGGATCCGGTGGTAGATTCTGCAAAACACTGCTGTTGCTAGGGCTAGTATTAGCAAATTCTCTCAGGTCGAACCCGTGAGCTTTCCTACCCAGGCGTGGGTGAAATAGCCCTCTAGGCTAACCAGCGAATAGACAGGAAAAAAAGGCCATCACAACTTTTCAAAAAACAAGAACTTACCCATAAAACGAACTGTAACGCCATTTTCTCAGGCAAACGAAATAAAAACACACGCGAATCAAGTATAATTAATATAAAACAAATTCGTACTGGTATGTTTGCTTTACGTATGTACAAACAACTATCGATCGTACTCGGCGATGTCTCAAAGACGTTTGAAGAGAACTGATTTAAAACACTGAATTAAATTATATTAGATAAACACTCACATGTAAATTGACATGCTCCAGAATTTGTACGTACGTATTCAATAAATTAATTGACACAATTTTGGAACTGTTTTTTTTTTAACGGCGTTGTTTAGATTGGTGAACCAGCTGACGGTCTACCTGTGTGCTCCAGTGGCTACAGGAGCCTCTGGGTTACGTGGCCCTCACTCCCTTTGAGGTCGAAGTTTCAATTGTATTATTACGCGCTGTGGACGGGATAAACCCTTAGAACACTTTACAATTCGTAAATCACTTCTTCCGCTTCGCTTCAGGTGATCCATTCGCTGTTTCGCTTCAAGTAGATCCGAACACTGACTGCATTCGTGTCATCTCTGCAACGCTTTTACAGTCGACACGACAACTCTACAATTATCGAAAACATTCCCGATAGAATGGATCGTTTCGATTTGTGTTGCCGGCATTTGATAATAGATGGCGTTATTCTTACCGGTGTAACAGTATTCCTTGACGGCTATCCTGTGTTAAAACATAAAGCGATCCGAATGTTCATGCCCATTCGTGTGAGGTACGTAGAACCACCAGTTACTTCGAAAACTCATTAATGGCAGGTTTGATTTTTATTGGACGATGTTCCCTGATGGAAGTCGTTCGAGTTTACGTGAAAGGATTTCTTTTTGACGTGACAACGTCTTATAATTCGATGGAGCCGGCTGCACGCACGAAAAAACATGACTCCTGCGGCGTTACATTGCTCTGAGGCGTTCCATTTAAGGCTTGAAGTGCAAGCGAGAGCGCGCAACGAGCGACAAAGAGGCACAATCGGCCTCCGCGTGCGGCAGCGTTCGACATCTGTCTCTCTCCTACTTGAGTGAGCGATGCATCCGCGTGGACAGCTGCTATACAATAATACATTTACATGTTTTCGTCAAGTATGAAGTTCAGTGAAAAGTGACTTTGGTGTTAATTATCCATACAAAATATCTATCAAACAAATAAACTTAAAATTTTCTTTTGAAAAATGAAACCATTCCATCAGTACCTATTTTCTTATGACGTTGTCACGTTCAACTATCGTCAGTAAACCGACTTTAAAGACAAACGATTTTTTTTTTGACCCTTTCGCTGACATCACTCCCCTCCACCAGAAAATTCTAAATTGGAACTGAATCTTGGACATCTTGTTCCCGGAGTCTTGGCACGTACTGCGTCAGGGAATGGAATTGTACATATTACATCTGAAATACCTTAGGGACTCTAGTCTTTCACCACTGCGATCACCTGTCCGATGACATTCTGGCCCATAGTATGAAAGTAGAGGTTGTACTTGTGGTTAAACTCTTAACCTCAATCCTGATATTAGATGATGAAGAAGCCCTGTATCGCCCGCCTTTCGTAGACCACCCATGTCCACCCTACCTGCAAGAAGGCGACTGGTTGGACCCCTCGAATAACAGTTCTATCAGCAGTAGAATTCTATTGCTATCAATAGTAACGACTTATATTGGACGACGCAGGAAAATATTGCACCTAATTGATGTGTTTTCTCGGTAGACCAACCGGGCTCAGATGCTNGATGAAGAAGCCCTGTATCGCCCGCCTTTCGTAGACCACCCATGTCCACCCTACCTGCAAGAAGGCGACTGGTTGGACCCCTCGAATAACAGTTCTATCAGCAGTAGAATTCTATTGCTATCAATAGTAACGACTTATATTGGACGACGCAGGAAAATATTGCACCTAATTGATGTGTTTTCTCGGTAGACCAACCGGGCTCAGATGCTTTATAGTTTTACAATATCAAGCAAACCATACACTGCTAGATTATTTACGTAAAATAAACAAACAAAGCCACGAGCCGGCGCTCTATATGTCGGGAACATCGCAGCCCCACGTGGTGTGAGATAACCGGTAGTTCCGTAGGAAGATAACGTAACTACATATAAGAAGCACTAATGGAAGATTACACAAAACATTTAAAGGTAATCTTTTTTTTATTGCTTAGATGGATGGACGAGTTCACAGCCCACCCGGTGTTAAGTGGTTACTGGAGCCCATAGACATCTACAACGTAAATGCGCCACCCACCTTGAGATATAAGTTCTATGGTCCCAGTATAGTTACAACGGCTGCCCCGCCATTCAAACCGAAACGCATTACTGCTTCACGGCAGAAATAGGCGGGGTGGTGGTACCTATCCGTGCGGACTCACAAGAGGTCCTACCACCGGTAATTACGCATATAATTTTTGCGGGTTTGATTTTTATTACACGATGTTATTCCTTAACCGTGGAAGTCAATCGTGAACATTTACTAAGTACATATTTCATTAGAAAAATCGGTACCGCCTCGCGGGATTCGAACACCGATGCATCGCTACATACGAATGCACCGGACGTCTTAACCTTTAGGCCACGATGACTTCAATCTCTTCGACATTTTGTCAAATGGTTTTTTCTTTTGGTGTAAAGAGCTTTAGAGACAAACAAGCGTACAGCTCATTAGACGGTAAATAGTCAGGCTCCCGGACATCAGCAAGGCTTGTTCAGTCGCTGGATACAGTCCAAGAAAACTATAGATGACGCTCATATACATAAAATTAATATTTTTGTGTGTGTGTGTAAATCGTACTTCGATCAGAGCCTAATCAGTTGTACCGTTATTTTCGTAAAGTCATCGTTATAAGCAATATCTGGTGCTCGCGCTGATACGTCGAATCAATCCTCGAAGTCTCATCCAAGTGGTGTCCTCGGTGGCACTTGGCAGGGTCATTGTGATGGTCAATTATCATATAAAACTTTTTTTTTTATTGCCCTTGTAGGCAGACGAGCATACGGCCCACCTGATGGTGAGTGGTTACCGTCGCCCATGGACTTCAGCAATGCCAGGGCCAGAGCCAAGCCGCTGCCTACTTGAATTTTTTCTCAAAATGTAAGGTTGGGTCTAATTTTTAACAAAAACCACTTTAAGCGGATTGATATTTTACTCTTGAGCCTTTGAAAGCGTATGAGGAATCATTATTAAATTACGGGCACACCTCTAAACACTACAATTGAAAAGTTAAAATGAGTAAGATGGGACTTCACGTCTTTAAAAAATTGTCATATATAACCTTTGTAAATGAACATTTTTTATATTTTTTTTATATTGCTTAGATATGTGGACGAGCTCACAGCCCACCTAGTTTTAAATGCTTACTGGAGCCCATAGAAATCTATAACGTAAATGCGCCACCCACCTTGTGATATAAGTTCTAAGATCTCAGTATAGTTACAACGGCTTCCATACCCTTCAGACCAAAACGCATTACTGCTTCACGGCAGAAATAGGCAGGGCGGTGGTACCTACCCGTGTGGACTCACAAGAGGTCCAGTAATTACGCAAATTATAATTTTTGCGGGTTTGATTTTTATTACACGATGTTATTCCTTCACCGTGGAAGTCAATCGTGAACATTTGCTAAGTATGTAGGTATTTCATTAGAAAAATTGGCACCTGCCTGCGGGATTCGAACACCGGTGCATCGCTAGATACGAATGCACCGGACGTCTTATCCTTTAGGCCACGACGACTTCAATCTCTTCTACATTCTGTCAAATGGTTTCTTTTGGTTTAAAGAGCTTTAGAGACAAACAAGCATACAGTTCATTAGACGGTAAATAGTCGTGCTCCTGGACTTCAGCTACTACTGTTTAGCCGCTGGATACATTCCAAGAAAACTATAGATGACGCTCATAAATAAAATTAATATATTTATGTGCGTGTGTAAGTCGTACTTCGATCAGAGCCTAATCAGTTGTACCGCTATTTTCGTAAAGTCATCGTTATAAGCAATATCTGGTGCTCGCGCTGAGACGTCAAATTAATTCTCGAAGTTTCATTCAAGTGGTACTTGTTATGGTCCTGTCCTGGTGAAACTGGAAAGGCCTCCGGGCCACCAGTAATCCTTCAATCATAAAAAAACTTGGTATGGTCATTGTGATGGTCAATTGTCATATATAACTTTAATTTTTTTTCAAAATGTAACGTTAGTTCTAGTTTTTAGTAAAAACCACTTTAAACATTAAGGATTGGTATTTTGCTCTTGAGCCTTTGAAATTGTACGATTGACTTCCACGGTGAAGGAATAATAACATCGTGTAATAAAAATCAAACTCGCAAAATTATAATTTACGTAATTACTGGTGGTAGGACCTCTTCTAAGTCTGCACGGGTTGGAAAACCTTCTCTTTTTTTTTTCGGGTAGCTTTCCGAACATCGAAGGCTCTGAAACGTCGTCCGTCTCGGTACGGCAGCCCGTCAGGCCGCCCAGATGGTGCCGCTGATGTCCCGGAATACCCCGCTGGATCAGAACCAGCCTGCCGGGTCGGGACGCGATACACCGTCGACCGGTCGCTCTATTACTCCACGGCAGCGCGCTAGAATGCTGGTAGCGCGCCGCGCGGCCTCTACCCCCTCAGGTCGCCCCTTGACCTTCACCGGGGGGAGTTCGCCTCTTACAGGGGCCGAAGTCGGGCAAAAGCCCTTCTACGGCCCCCGGCTCGGCGGCGACGGATAGGTGCGGAGAGGTATGAGCTCTCCTTCTCTCGTTCCGCCGCCTCCTTCTGCGAGATGGTGTACTCGCAGAAGTCGAGCATCGCCTTCCAGGACTCATCGCTGCCGAGCATCGTAGCCACGACAATCGGCAGCGACAAGTCCGGTCCTATTTGCGAGACAAGGACACGGCGTTGCTCCACCCATGCGGGGCAATGTGCGAGCGTATGCTCGACCGTGTCCTCGTCGCAGTCACAGTGGTGACACTCCATCGTCGGTTCCCTCCGGGCGACGCGATGCAGGTACCGGCCGAAACACCCATGG